TACATCATTGGCTAAGTAAATTACCACAACGTGGTCTCTATTGTTATATAACCTACATCATTGGCTTAGTAAATTACAACAACGGGGTCTCTAGTTTTATAAAACCTATATCATTGGCTTAGTCAATTACAACAACGGGGTCTCTATTGTTATATAACCTACATCAACAACGTGGTCTCTATTGTTATATAACCTACATCATTGGCTAAGTAAATTACAACAACGGGGTCTCTATTGTTATATAACCTACATCATTGGCTTAATAAATTACAACAACGTGGTCTCTATTGTTATAAAACCTACATCATTGGCTTAGTAAATTACAACAACGGGGTCTCTATTGTTATATAACCTACATCATTGGCTAAGTAAATTACAACAACGTGGTCTCTATTGTTATGTAACCTACATCGTTGACCTAGTAAATTAAAACAGGTTAAAACCTACATCATTGGCTTAGTAAATTACTACAACGGGGTCTCTATTGTTATGAAAACGGGGTCTCTATTGTTATGAAACCTACATCTTAGTAAAACAACGTGGTCTCTATTGTTATGTAAACTACATCGTTGACCTAGTAAATTAAAACAGGTTAAAACCTACATCATCAACTTAGTAAATTACAAAACAGGGTCTCTATTGTTATGAAACCTACATCATTGGCTTAGTCAACTACAACAACGGGGTCTCTATTGTTATATAAACTACATCATTGGCCTAGTAAATTATAACAACGGGGTCTCTATTGTTATATAACCTACATCATTGGCTAAGTATATTACCACAACGTGGTCTCTATTGTTATATAACCTACATCATTGGCTTAGTAAATTACAACAACGGGGTCTCTAGTTTTATAAAACCTATATCATTGGCTTAGTCAATTACAACAACGGGGTCTCTATTGTTATATAACCTACATCAACAACGTGGTCTCTATTGTTATATAACCTACATCATTGGCTAAGTAAATTACCACAACGGGGTCTCTATTGTTATATAACCTACATCATTGGCTTAATAAATTACAACACATGGTCTCTATTGTTATGAAACCTACATCATTGGCTTAGTAAATTATAACAACGGGGTCTCTATTGTTATATAACCTACATCATTGGCTAAGTAAATTACCACAACGGGGTCTCTATTGTTATATAACCTACAACATTGGCTAAGTAAATTACAACAACGTGGTCTCTATTGTTATGTAACCTACATCGTTGACCTAGTAAATTAAAACAGGTTAAAACCTACATCACTGGCTTAGTAAATTACTACAACGGGGTCTCTATTGTTATATAACCTACATCAACAACGTGGTCTCTATTATTATGTAACCTACATAGTTGGCCTAGTAAATTAAAACAGGTTAAAACCTACATCATCGGCTTAGTAAATTACAAAACAGGGTCTCTATTGTTATGAGACCTACATCATTGGCTTAGTCAACTACAACAACGGGGTCTCTATTGTTATATAACCTACATCATTGACTTAGTCAATTACGACAACGGGGTCTCTATTGTCATGGAAATTTCATCATTGCATAAGAAAATTACAACAACGGAGTGTCTATTGTTATAAAACCTGCATCATTGGCTAAGTAAATTACAACAACGTGATCTCTATTGTTATATAACCTGCATCTTTGACTTAGTAAATTACAACAACGGGGTCTCTATTGTCATGGAAATTTCATCATGGCTTGGTAACTAAGATTATTGACAAAAGGGAGAATTAAGGGAATTCAGTCCGACAGGTTCGGTAATAAGACTGTCCCGCTATTAAGGCCGTCTTTGTCCAGCCCAATTATTTGTCACTGCGGTACTATTTATTTAGTTTTCAGTATTTAATGGCTTTCGTTTATCTGTGTGTCTTTTATACAAAGTATTGTTCTCGAGTCCTTTAGATGCCCCTCCTAATTTGATGAGTAAAAGCATTGCAGTTTTTCATCTCTTTGTCTAGTAACTGAATATTTTTGGATTGTTTATGAACGAAAAGAAAAGGATTGCAAAATATAAAATGTATACAAAAAATATAAATTCCATGTTAATATACCAGAAAATTATGTATAAAAGTACATGAAAAATAAGTGTAAGAATTCTCACTGTTTTAATCCTTAAAATTACAAGGCGTGAAGATTTTCACGGCTTTATTTTTATTTCAGAACATTTTAATTGATATAAATCACAAACATGATAATCAATACACACATACAAACCTTACATAACATACATACAATTATAAATTTAGTGTTGACAGACTCATCAATTTTTAAATAAGGGAGACAACTCTGTTATTCTTTATATTTTAATCTTATGATTATAAGAAGATAATCAACAATGCACCAGCTTTTCAGTTTACTATGTCTTATGATATTAATGATACAAATGTGCATTACATGTACTTCCCCTCTCATATAAAAGGGATTTGGGCCAAAATGTCAATGATATAAAAGTTAGCACTCTCATAAAACACATTATTCTAAATTAAAAGGATATTCAGACCAAAATAAAGAACCTACCAGAGTTGTTTCCTTATTATAAGATGATAACTGAAATAATTCAGATAGAACAAATAATAATGGGAAATGGGGGGAAAAGTATTAACCAGCATTCATCTCATTATCTATGGAAGGATATGTTTTTTTTTTCTAAATATATTTTGTCTTTGTTTTAGATCAGTTCTATAATTTCAATTCATGTTAGTATATATTTAGTCAAACATTAAAGCCTTTCTGTATCAGCAATATACTTAATTACAGCATCAAACAATAATTTGTTGATTTGGGTGGTAGAGATTGGGCAGCCATGCAAAACATAGTTTAGTTCATAGTAGTTATGATTATGGTTGTTCAGTGTTTGTAATACACTTTGTCTTGGGTTGATATATCTAGGGCAGTCAAAAAAGAAATGCCGAGCTCTTTCAGTTGGGGTACCACATGCACAAGATGGGTCATTATAAAATGGTCTTTAAGCAGATCATGATTTAGAGAGCTAGCTGAATTCAGCTGACAGAGAATGGTATTGTTAAAAAATGGTTGGATAATATCAAATAAGTATTCAGGTCTTTCTTATATGGGATATATATAGTATTGAAAGGGACTTTCTGTCTATTTGTTTTAGAAGTCTCAGAATATTAATTTTTGATCTGCATTTTTTGTACATAAAATCTATGTGCTTATTCCATTTGCTATCACAACTGAATACTAAACCAAGATGCTTGTGGTCGGAAGAGGTTTTGACAAGTTGATTGTTAAAATAAATATCAGGATGGTTTGGTATGGGTTTCCTTGTAAATATTACTGATTCTATTTTAGATCGATTAAACTAAATATCCCATTGTTTAGCCCAATCTTTTATAGAATTTCAATAATTTCCACGGGACTCAGCTTCTTCAACTGGATTATCATTGACAACTTTAAACAGAAACCTATCATCAGCAAACAACTTAATAAAGCTATTAACACAGTCAGTGATACCATTTATGTACAGTTAAAAGAGAAAAGGTCATAGGACTGAGCCCAGGGGACTCCTGCATTAACAGGTTAAAAGGTTGAGGCAAAGGCTTCAATCACCACACGTTGTTTCTATTAGATAAATAACTTTGTAGACACCTTTAAACATACCTTCAATTCCATAAGATTCAAGCCTGTATAATAAACCCTCATGCCCGACTCTATGAAATGCCTTGCTTATATCACAAAATACAAATCTCAACTCTTTATTATAATCTAAATTACAAATTATATTGTGATATGTTGAAAGCAGTTGGTTAATAATTTAATCCTTAAGCATAATCCTTACTAATGTTGTGATATAATTTCATATAAAGGAAGATGGTTGAACAAATATTTAAATATTATCTTTTCTAGCATCTAACTAAAACATTAGGTCACTGAAATAGGTCAGTAATTGGTTACATCATTTTTAATCCCTTTCCTTTATAGATAGAAGTGACGTTAAACATATCCAACGGGAAAGTATAATGCCTGTCTCAAGGGTTTTATTAAAAAGTATAGCTAGATATTATGAGATAGAAGAATCAAGCATTTTGATTATTTTCAGAAAGAGATTATCAGGCCCTGGTGGTTTCCTAAAATTTAGTAAAAACAAAAGCTGATCTTAAACATCTTGTTCAGAGATAATGATATTGTTAATAGTATAAGGTGTAGCTGAAACAGCTTTAGCAAAGGGATGAGTTATATAGTATCCATTGTCAAGAAAGATTTGTTGTAGGTTTTGAACACTGAATTGGCAAGTTTCCACCATTTACTGGGAAGGAGAGACTTGTCACCTGCATTTTTCGCAAGGTTTTTATAATAACTCTTTTTTGCATTACGTTTCTTTTCTGTCTGTAATCTTCCCAATGATTTGGCGATGAATTTGCTATAGCTTTTTTGTGAATTCGATTTCGTTGCCTACTATTTAATTTGATTGTTTGATTCATCCATGGTTTGTCATTAGGCCGAAAAGTAATTTGTGGAGGGGAGAAACTGCTGAATAAGATCATTTATCGAGTTAATAAGAAATTGATTAAGCTCTTCAGCAGTCATAGTATTAGATATTTCATCCTAGTCTAATATTGCCAATTCATTCTTCCTGCTATCAAAATCAGCTCTATCAAAGATATTTTTTCTATACTGTAAGCGTTACGTTTAAATATTGAGCACGGCTTTAATCCTTGAAACATGACGATGAGGATTTTCACTACTTCAATCGTTAAAACCATAAATTGTAGGAAATTTCATTTTTTTAATCCTTAAAAAAATTGTAAGGGAGAAGTTTTACAACTTTAATCCTTGAAACTGCAAGGTATGGATATTTTCACCGCTTTCATCTAGAACTTTAAAACGTGACTGTTTTTACCACTTGAAACCTTAAATCTACAATGTATAAGGATTTTCACCGTGCCTATGCAATCTAATTTCATGTCCATCAGTTCAGATTGAAATCTTTCCTTTCCATAAGACATGAACGGGTATCACAATCACTCATTCATAACTGAAATAACCGGACGCGATCACGGTTAAAAACTGCGGATACAACATTTGATCTGTTCACACTGACAGCCCATGTGTTATACTTGTCTGTGTGTAAAATCCTGAGAAATTCCCCCTGTCCATTCAGAAGAAGAATTCTATTGTTGCAGTGATCAGCGATGACGATGTTTCCACGCCTGTCAAACGCAATACCATAACAAATGAATATGTCAGATTCTGACACGGTCGTCTGTTGGTAGTCGGTCGGTATCTCTCCTCGGTACCGAAAAAGTTCTCGAAAATCAGTGTCCATAACGACAACATTCCGTTTGCCTTCGCCGCCATGATCTTTTAAGTCCTCATCAATCACTGCCACATTATTTGTAACAGGACACTCGGAGATTCTCAATGGCGTACTCACTAACGGTTTCTTGGTTCTTGCCGTTAGTGTGGTGAGTACTACTTTACCTTTAGTGGTTAATTTCGAGATGTGTTTCGCCATACCAACAATCACATGGTTACTGGCTGTAACACAAAGACACATGGGTGCCTTCTTGGTCTCAAATCTTTTCTCCAGGATCCCCGATGGCACAAGCTCCATGATTCGTTTGTCATGTGTTTGACAGGTCCAAAGAGCATCTGTTGCAGGCGACACACTGATGTCTCTTATGTTAACATTGTGTCGTAGGAAGCCTTTCATGACTCCAGCAGTGTCCATCAATGCCAAAGAACCACTGTTGAAATAACTATTCCACACCTGACCGTCACTAGTGTGACAAATAGAAGATATCAATCGTGCAGATTTGAACTTCTTAACCACCATTGCATGTGACAAAAATTCTGATTTGGGAAGATCACTGAACATAGATTCGCCACTTTCGCTCAAACCTTGACCCATCTGATCTGCAAGATCGGATGTCGACCCTGCTGATGTATCCTGACTCAAGATCCCGTCACCCAAAGCCTGTTTCAAGTATTTCAAGGGATTTGGATTCGCCGTGAAGCTTGCAGAACGAAGGATAGGTTTCAAAGGAAGGACCTCATCATATTGAGTCTTGCATCCGAGATAGTATATTTCAACATGTGTTCCATTAGCAAGCAATGTCTTGCATTCCTGCATCTGTTGCTTCAGCTGCTCCTCGTAGATCTCCAGGTCTTGTCTGTAAGTTTGTAAGAGTCTGGTATTTTCTGCCTCCATCTGACTATAGACAGAGAGCGTCTGTGCCGAAAGCAGATCCAGCTCTTCCTTCAATTTGATCGTTTGTGTTTTCAGCTCTGAAGCAAGAAGTTCAAAAGTACTTGCGTTGTCTTTGAGTTGGGTCTCAGTTGAGGCGATATATTCATGAACTAACACCAGTTCATTTCTCTCCGTCTTTTCTATAAAATTTTGAATGTCTCTCTTTCTTTCAGGAATTATTTCACCAAGTTCACAAATGGAATGTTCCTTGTTGTGGCCACTCGAAAAACATTTATCACAACAAAGATCATTGCAACTCCTGCAATAGAACTCGAGTTGTCTCCCTTGGTGATGTTTACATGTTCTCTGCCTTTTCGTTTGAACTTCGCCCTGTTCCATATTCGTGTAGATTGGTTTCTCGGCCATTCTGTTATATGAAGGTAAGAAGTAATCGATGAACTATTCACCTTTTCCACCAGATTAACAAAATTTATGCGGAGGTTCTTTGCTTCTTATGGAGTTCATGTTCCATTTCCATCACAAGGAAAATAAATTGTACTCTACCGTCTATGCTCGTCCTGGTTGTCAACAACATTCCACTCGTGTTCGGTCGTCTCCATCGTCATATACAAAATATCCATCAAAATTGTTAATGTATTCATTGTAGATTCCTGTAAAGGATCAGTGTTCCGGACACAAAACATCCGATCATTAAATATATACCATCGCAAGACTAATATCGAATGCACACAACATGACCTCCAATGCAATGCTGTTTACTAGCTGACTAGCTCATGAATACCAGTGTGAATTTATCTTCAGGTAAATCTTTGTTGCACAGAAATATTATACTACCTGGTTCAACGAGCGTCCCAGAAACTTTATAATCAACTTGACAGGCATGTTTTAAATACTAAAACTTTCATTCTGTACCTGACCTACAAGTGTTTACAAAACGACTGCAAGATACTTTATCGAATTTCCATCAAATATAACTTTCTCAGATGTCAGTACGACTAATAATTTGTAATTAACTGACCCCCCCCCCCCAAAAAAAAACAAAAAAAACCCAAAAAAAAAACAAAAAAAATTGCCTTTAAGACGTTTCCTGTATTTTTTTGAACCTATGTTATTATGTATAAAATTATACACAGTCATTTGAGAATGACAATGGATTAAACACGGAGACTGGATGAAATATACATGAGATATACCTGCATCGTATCCAGACACGCAATCACCAAGTAATAAAAACTACCGAACAATTAGCTATCACTTGTGTTTTATACGATCTTGGATATAGCAGGTGTTAGTTACTGCTGCCGTACCTGCATGCCAAGCTTTAAAGATTCATACAGTTGTACTTGACATTCTTATGAAATCATCATAAATTTGAAAAATAAGAAACATATTTATCATTACGGTGCTATTAACACCTTCGGGAAGTAACGATTGCGTCACGAAGAATGGCTTAAGTGAGTACGCTTAAACATGCAAACTTTCTTTCCACATAGAACGGTTAAAATGTTGCTGTTATTCTACAAAATAGCTCCACTATTAGTAAAAACTAGACAATGACATTTTTTGCCGCTGTGTTTCTAGTTTTACACCTTATCAATAGCGAAATTTGATCTTGAATATTTCGACATTCTATTTCAACATTTTACAATTTTAACTGCAGGTTCTAACACAGAATACAGAATTAGTGTACAATATGAGTAGCATATACAATATTTTCCAGCAATGGACAACATATCCATACTATTTCCATCCTTGATATAAAGTATCATTGATTTACAAATATCAAAATATTTTGTCACCTTTTCATGTTCTTTCAGAAATTAGGAAAACTTACACAATGTTTCAATTCAACCTGTTCATTATGTTCAAGAAAACTAAATTTCCATGCCCTAGGATTTTTTCTGCTTTTCCATTCCATTTGATTTTTTTTTTAAAAATGTAGTTCTTGGACAACATGCTTAAGTTTTGATTACAATTACCTTTTCGATATAGAAGTCTTCTGAAAGACCAATCATTTGAAAGTTTCTTTGCTGACCTTAACCTCTCCTTAAAATTATCTTCAAAAATATTTTCTAATTGAAAATTATTAGAAATTCCTAACAATTTAAATTTTCCTTGGTGATTCCATCTCAAGTTTTTCTCTTGAAAGATTTCTTCTCCACAATCCCGTTTTTGGCCCCAATCCATACTGCCTATGTGTTATCTATATTTGTCTTAAGACCAGATACCTTGTCAAAATCATTTAAAGTTTCCAGAACCTATTTATAGGAATTTGGATCATCTGAAAATGTGAATGATACGTCATCTGCAAACTGATTGATCAGATATTCTGAACTTTTTATTTGTATTACTGAGCTTAAATGTCAACACATAAAATAAAAATATTCGTACGTACTTCAAAAAACTTTGAACAGAGTTCATTATTCAAAACACAGCGGCATATAAAAAGTTCTAATCCATTTACAAACGGAAGGGCCAAAACCACAGAAAATTGATAAAATTAAATTCTAACGAGTCGAAAGCTTTCGCGAAATCAATATAGCAAAAGTAAACCTGGACTGCTTTCCTTTTCTGTTTTTTCTACGATGTCATAAATTAGCCTGGTACATTCACCATTGTATCTAATAAAACCCTTCTCTGTATCACTTATTAGACTATTTAATACTGACTTAATTCTATTTGAAATGACTGAGGAACCAATTTTATAATTAACGTTTAACAAAGTAATTGGTCTCCAGTTTTATACATATACTTTAAACTTAAGAATGTATATAATTACACTTTGACATTGAGTAATAGAGAAAATTTCTCCTTCATATGCTTGATTTAGAGAGCTAATTAAAAAGCTATTAATATCTGACTAAAACAGTTTGTAGAATTCAACGGTAAATCCATCTATTCCTTGTATCTTTAAGTGCATTAAGTCACTCTTAATAATTATTTATTAATTCCTTCAATTAATTATTTTTAATGGAGAGTTTATTGATATAAATATTTTCTTCATTAAAACGAGATTAATTTTCAACTTCATGTACATCGTCAGAAATTGAGCCTGTTTAAAGATTCCGGTAAAAATATTCTTGTTAAATGTCATGAATATCATTTAATTCTACGTCAGTTTCTGATTTTAATTTTGGGATCATTCTTTTTTGTTAATTTCTTTTTTTTTCTAAATTACAGAAAAAAAACGAATTTATTTCCCCATCAATTTTCCATTTTGTTTTTGCTCTTTAAATAGGCCTTTTTATTATATTCTCCCTAATTAGTTTAAGCTCATTTTCTAATGCCCAAATAAGTTCATATTGCCTGTTACCTCCTTTTTGTAATTGTGCAAGTTTTGTCTCCATTTGTTTTGTTTTGTGTTTGCCTTTTTTATGCGATGAATGTGCAATAGTTTGTCCTCATAACAATAAAGTACCCAAGAGTAATTTATCACTTATTATAAAAGTCATTTAATTGACATCTTCTTTTGGATCTGTAGCATACATGTCTTAGGTATCCTTAATACATTTTTAACGAGGACAACATAATCAGGATCGTTTAACAAGCTATCATTAAGTTTCAAAGTTCCTTTTGGATGGCTAATACATTTGACGAATAGTGACACGGAAGAATGATCTGATTTATAACTCACTCCAATATTCGCATGAGATATAAAAGGAATTCTGTCAGATGGTATTAAAATGTCTAGCCTGTTTTTAATGTGGACTATGTTATGTAAATATGTGTTGTTCAGAATTTCTTTCCCTCCAACGCAGCATGTTCTCGCGTTTCAACTCATTCTCTGACACAGTCGTCAACAGAATCCAAAAGTATTTAGAAATTCAAATTACATGTACAACTAACGGACGGGCTTTCACGACATTTAAGATCCTTCAAGGAAAACTCCTCTTGCTTAACAATTTTGAATATTGTTTAAATCACCAACTGCCAAGTTTGGCAATAGTTATAAGTAGACGTAGAACAAGAACAAGCTAACGGAGGACTAGTTCTAAGGTCATCTTCATTCAGCTGTTTCAGTATTTGTTTGAACAAAATTGGATGCAATAACCTTGGAGTAACTGTTGGAAACCACAGGGGTGTCTCTGCTTTGAAAGTATGGTGTACTGTTAGCTAGAACCTACGTCTGGTGTAAAGTTTTGCTGGTGTAACTTAAACACTCAACTTTCATAAATTGGCGAGTTGTTAAAGGCTCGCGGCATCCTTACCTTACCTTAAATGTTTAACAAACCTAATTTTGACCACATCAACAATGATTTATGAAGCTGAAACCACTTGAAGTTTTCGTAGCACGGAGAGGAGAAGCGCAAGTAGTTCGAACAATATGGATACCTAATGGTTTCTGTTAATTATTCATTAGATTTTCAAACGTGACCGTATATCCGCTAGATTTATTATAATGTCTATGTCCGTGGCTACGATTACGTCTAGTTTGATGTGTGAATAAAACCATAACGTTAGTGTTACTGAATACTCGACTGGACAAATTTCCTACAGAATCCAGGCAGCCATAGCAGCCATATGGCGTACCAGTGCCAAGGAGTCTAATATAGAGTTCCTCACTATTTTGTATCAAATTTCACCGACTACAGCACAATGGGAACTGGGACAACGTTATGTTTATGGAATACAAGATCGTGAAACACGAAGGCTAAAAAAAATCTAGATCTAAGAAATACAGTTTATAAGTTTTCGTAGCTGACAGGTAGTGTCATATTCATGAAGTACGAGATAGCCAAACACAAAAGCGAGAACTGGTTGAATCTAAGAAATATATATTACGAAAAGGAATGAAAGGTTTCAACCGGACTAGAAAGAAGAGAGGGACTACAAAACTGAATTCCTCTACTTCTGCTCTCCACTTGGCCCCGATTTTCTATTTTTCCGCTCATCCCTTGGCCATGAATTCCTTTACTTCCGCTCTCCCCTTGGCCACAAATTCCTCTACTTTCGCTCACCCCTTGGCCCCGAATTCCTCTACTTCCGCTCATCCCTTGGCCCCGAATTCCTCTACTTCCGCTGACTCCTTGGCCCCGAATTCCTCTATTTCCGCTCACCCCGTGGTCCTATTTGGCCGAAACATCATCAGTAATAGAAACGATGGTTGTCCTACTAGCGTAACGCATCGGGCAATATTAGATTGAAATCCTCTAAATTCCTAGCAGACATCACACTTGAAGAATAACCCCTTTTGAATCCTACCCAAAGTCCCTTGGAGGCAAATCAACTGCATCGATATGAATCATCATTGTCCTCCCGAAGTTATTTTTCAGACCAAAGTTGGTTGAAATCAACTCAAGCATTTGAAATCAAACTTTTAACTGAATTCCCTATTTAGAACACCGCCCTTCAGTCTTAAGATTGCCCTCCTCAAGTGATATTTCTGACCAAATAAGGTTAAAATCCACTCAAGTGTTAAGGAGAAGCAGTGTTTAAAAGCAATTTTTTTAATGAATTTCCCATTTGGGACCCCGCTACCAAGTCCTCAGTGGCGGAATCAATTTCATTTCTGTAAGTTATGATAAACATTCCCGAAATACAAATCCAGACAAATTTGGTTGAAATTTGTGCAAGCACACGGAAGGAGAAGTATTTCAAAATAAAGTTTACACACGACAGACGAGGACGGACGAAGCATGATGAACCTACAGTAAGATGTATTGGTTGTTATGAGACAGTGTTGTATACATGAAATATTAGATCGCTACACACGTAGGCTTAAAAATGTTACACCAAAGAAATATAATATACACGTACATGTATATGGAGCGGCCATGTTCATTGTAATTCATTCAGTGACTCAATGGTTTTGAAATCAGATGTTGTCACCAAGTGTGACGAACAAACACTGAAAGGCTTTAAAGATACTTCGGTGTATCAAATAATGATGTACGGAGAACAAAATGGGTTTGATATGTTAACACGTTTTACTCTTCGCCAACATCTGTATAATATCGACTGTAATAGACTGTATGAGTTATCTTAATCAGTAAAGTTTCGACTTCCGTTCTCGTTGTTTGAGGAGGTAAGCACGATAATAAAAGTTACCAAAAAGTACGATGAGTGAAATAGAATAGAGGAAAACGGCGATGTTAAAGCCTTGAGGGAAATCACAGTCGATCATCAAGTTATAGCCAGTATGTAAGACGAAGGCCACGAACTGGATCTGAAATACACATATATAATCACATCATGTAAAAATTATATTTACATTGTACCTTAAAGATCGCACTTTTTACTTCAAGTTTAAGGTAAAAACGCCAAATTTGAACCATCGAAAAAAACCCACATTTACAATAACTAAGTGTCCCTTCATTCAACTCCACACATTCAGACATCCTAATCATTTAAACTTTGTCATCTAAAGCTACAAACCAAATTACTGTTTCGATACAATCTTAATTTCATTTCACAAATAAAAATATCAACATCATTATGTAACGTCTGACCTTACCTAAGTAGGAAAGTCAATTTTCCCAAATAAACACATTTGATTTATCAAACAAGTTCATTGCTTAGTAAGTAAATCTCACTGAAGTCTTCGGGTAGTAAGATGGCCCAAGAGAAGAGATATTAAAGTCAGCATTTTTTGTCAATGTTAAAAGGTCCTGGACTACAACGCTTTATGTATCATTGTGTTCATCTTTAAATTGAGGAAACCTTTATATATTTGTTTCCCAAAAGGGTCCAAAGACTCGGACCGTATTTAGTTCTAACATTAAGAGCTTTGGATCTAAAGTCAATCTGATTCGTTATCATATTTCACATATTAAAATATTCTGTTTGCAGATGTTTATATGTCAGTACAGAATATACTGGGTTCTATGAGGACACGTACCAACTGTAGTCGCGTGAGGTAGCGTTTCCACCAGAGATATTTCTGCATGTGTGGCCCGACACCGGACAGGAAGTAGTATGAGTACATGATGATGTGTACGAAAGAGTTCAACATACCGATGAAAAAAGCTGTAAATAAAAATAACTTTTTAACTCAAAATAACTTTTTTTTACTCTAACTTTTCCCAACTTAAGACTCCTGTCATCATCGATCCATCTAGTCTTAATCTGATTGTTTTTCTTCAGAAGTCTCTGTAAATCTGCATTTTGTTAATATTTTGCCCTAGATAATTTGATTTGAGTTTGGATTATGATTATGTTGAAATGTTGGTATTTTTCTCGTTGTTGTATCAGATAGATAACGTAATATAAAGTATCTTCACGGTTCGCCGTAACCTGCGTGGTGTTAAACTTCATCTAAATAATGACACATTTTTAAAAAAACAAATTTTGCAGTTATTTTCAACAATAGGAATTTCGAAACTTATTAAATTTCGGTGTTAGTTCACCTTACCACCTTGTTTTTTGACATTCAGATGTCGACCACTGATTTTCCTCTGTCTCCTTACTGACAACAACAGTTTAGACCTTACTGCTATTGTTTTAGATTTTCAAATCTTGGCTGAAACTTTTCATTTATTCTTCACTTCGCTTTCTTTCATTACATGAATTTGATGTCAAACAGTTTCATGAACTTTCCCAGATATCCTTACCTTGGCCTTCAGCTAATTAATGACGTCAGCTTGACCTCTAGTGATTTATGACCTTACGATGAGGACATTAACAGTTTTCACTACTTCACCTTAACCTCCATTTGCTTTAAGACCTCATAATAACGCCCATTTGTTTAACGAGCTTACCTCAGCAATTTATATCCTGACCTTGACCTTCCAGACTTAACAATGTCATATTGTTGCTTTATTATGTTACTTTGACGCCCGACAGTTTCATGGCCTCATCCTGAACCCAGTGGCTTCATGACCTTAACTTGACACACTCACATCTATAGCCTTAACTTTACCTCCAGCAATTCAATGAACTAACATTGACCATAACATTCTAAATACTTTATCTTGACCTCGAATAGTTTAATGTCAAGACCTCAAGCCTGCGGTGTTATGACCTGACCTGATTACAACAGTTGTAGCGTTATCTTGACCCAAACAGTGTAATGACCCGACCTTGACCCCAGAAGTATCATGACCCCCTACACTTTATTTTCTTATCTTGACCTGGCCTACCCACGAGTTTTTAAGCTAACCCACCCAAACAGTTTAGTGACCTAAGCTTGACCCGAAACACTTTGTTACTTTATGTTGACCTAAACAGTTTCATGGCTGACCTGACCACAACTGCTTCTAATTTTTTCTTCACCCCAACTGTTTAATGGCCTGGCCTTTGACCCCAGCAGTATCATGATCTAAGCATGACCTCAACAGTTTTAAGTCTCACCTTGACCTCCTGCAATGTATTTCACACCTAGCCACCAGTTGATGATCATAGTACAGTGATGATACACGTGTAAGAATGATACTTGGTCAAACTTCTTTCTTATGATGAAAAACACCTGTAACGTCCGAAAATAATACTTCAATATATTCAATATAGCGTTAATTAAAACGAGCATATGCTGTGGTTTTTGAAATGAAAATAAACAATGTTAATAAAAGGTTTTCTGTTTGTTTCTTTCACTGTATTAAGCAAACATTATTATAAAAATTACAAGAACATTTCAACATTACAAAAAGTCCATCCGTACCTACGTTAAACACGTAACGGATATATAATGAAAGGTGTTCGTGACGGCCTAATTAGCTATACTGGATATAAGACTATCGCGTTAGTGGTGACCACACTAACAAGTCGGATTAGTAGACGTCGGATTAATGTGACAAGATGAACAAACATCCGGATTAGTGGTGACTGGATTAACAAGTCGGATTTGTAAATATCGGATAAATGAGACCAGACACAGAACGATCCAGATTAGTAAACGGCGGATTGAGGCGAAAAGATGAAGGGATCCGGATAAACGACGAGATTTGAGGATAACTGGTGTTACATTTGATTAATGTCATTTGAAGAAACAGTCGGATTAGTGGTGGCCGGATTAACGACACAATATGAAGAAACATCCGGATTAATGGTGCCCAGATAAATGAGATAAAATGAAGAAAGATTCGGATTAGTGGTAGCCTAATTATCAAAATTTGATAAGAGGATATCCGGAAAAAAGTAGTGGTAAGTTCGATCGTTGACAGTTGATCATTGACAAGAGAAGGTCGGATTAATGGACATCGGATTACTGAGACAATATGAGAAAAAAAACCATACGGATTAGTGGAGACTGGAATCAAGAGAATGTTCATTAATTCGATGGCTGTCCTTGTCTTGGTCTTTAGTAGCAATAATAAGCAGTTAAAACTTACCGTATCTAAAAGTTCGATAACCTTGGAAAAGAAAAACCACCAGCAAACATTCGCCATCTGAAAGCAAATATCAATCAACATGTTAATAACGAGAACATCACGTTAAAATATTAATATGCAAGGATTTCTTTTTGTGTAGCTCCACCAGCATGTAATTAGTATTAACAGCATCTAAACACAAATTCTGTAAAACTGTAAACTGAAAAAATATTATCAAAACAAAGATTTACAAAGAGCCCATAGACATGTACAAGGGCACAACAGAGGCCTGTTTCCTGCTCAAAGAAACAGTTTGTGCTCTGCTCGCAGTGAAATACCCGGAAATTAATTCCATATATGGATTTATATTCTTTCAATTATTCTTAAGGATTTTAAATAAGATATTATTTTTAATGTTTACGGGATTTTCACTGTTTTTTCACGATTTAAAGGAAAATTTGATGATCTTATGTTTGGATATCGGAGTAAATCCAACTTAGTTATCAAACAAAGATCATGATTCTACAATACTACTACTATAAACGTCTAGACTGATATCAGCCATGAAGGTAGTCACCCTTAAGGCTAGTGGGCAGTTACTATAAACGTCCAGACTGATATCAGACCATGAATACTCACCCTTAAGGCTAGTGGGCTGTTACTATAAACGTCTAGACTGATATCAGCCATGAAGGTAGTCACCCTTAAGGCTAGTGGGCTGTTACTATAAACGTCTAGATTGCTATCAGACCATGAATACTCACCCTTAAGGCTAGTGGGCTGTTACTGTAAACGTCTAGACTGATATCAGCCATGAATGTAGTCACCCTTAAGGCTAGAGGGCTGTGGGCTGTTACTATAAACGTCTAGATTGATATCAGCCATGAAGGTAGTCACCCTTAAGGCTAGTGGGCTGTTACTATAAACGTCTAGATTGATATCAGCCATGAAGGTAGTCACCCTTAAGGCTAGTGGGCTGTTACTATAAACATCTAGATTGATATCAGACCATGAAGGTAGTCACCCTTAAGGCTAGTGGGCTGTTACTGTAAACATCTAGATTGATATCAGACCATGAAGGTAGTCACCCGTAAGGCTAGTGGGCTGTTACTATAAACGTCTAGACTGATATCAGACCATGAATACTCACCCTTAAGGCTAGTGGGCTGTTACTATAAACGTCTAGACTGATATCAGACCATGAAGGTAGTCACCCTTAAGGCTTGTGGCTGTTACTATAAACATCTAGATTGATATCAGACCATGAATGTAGTCACCCTTAAGGCTAGTGGGCTGTTACTATAAACGTCTAGACTGATATCAGCCATGAAGGTAGTCACCATTAAGGCTAGTGGGCTGTTACTGTAAACATCTAGATTGATATCAGCCATGAAGGTAGTCACCCTTAAGGCTAGTGGGCTGTTACTGTAAACGTCTAGACTGATATCAGACCATGAAGGTAGTCACCCTTAAGGCTTGTGGCTGTTACTATAAACGTCTAGATTGATATCAGTCATGAAGGTAGTCACCATTAAGGCTAGTGGGTTGTTACTGTAAACATCTAGACTGATATCAGCCATGAAGGTAGTCACCCTTAAGGCTAGCGGGCTGTTACTATAAACGTCTAGATTGATATCAGACCATGAATACTCACCCTTAAGGCTAGTGGGCAGTTACTATAAACGTCTAGATTGATATCAGACCATGAATACTCACCCTTAAGGCTAGCGGGCTGTTACTATAAACATCTAGATTGATATCAGACCATGAATACTCACCCTTAAGGCTAGTGGGCTGTTACTATAAACGTCTAGACTGATATCAGACCATGAATACTCACCCTTAAGGCTAGTGGGTTGTTACTTAAACATCTAGACTGATATCAGACCATGAAGGTAGTCACCCTGAAGGCTAGAGGGCTGTGGTCTGTTACTATAAACGTCTAGACTGATATCAGACCATGAATACTCACCCTTAAGGCTAGTGGGCTGTTACTATAATCTACTGGCTGACACAGGTAGCTATAGTTGGATAAGAGCGATGTTACTAGAAACTGGAAAGATAAAATATACATAGACAAGTTGACTTCATGACTTAACTCAAATTCAGATCTTGTCATATGTAGGTAACTTTTCGTTACTGATGATGGTGTTATCTTTACCTCTGGATCCATCATCGATACTCCAGGGATTACGATTACTTTCGCTCTCTCCACCCCTGTTGTAAATGATAGTATTTGAGTTTCTAAGTGTTGTAAGTGATAATATTTGATTTTGTAGGTATTGTAAATGATGATATTTAGGTTTGTAGGTATTGTAAGTGATGATATTTAGGTTTGTAGGTATTGTAAATGATGATATTTAGGTTTGTAGGTATTGTATGTGATGATATTTAGGTTTGTAGGTATTGTAAGTGATGATATTTAGGTTTGTAGGTATTGTAAATGATGATATTTAGGTTTGTAGGTATTGTATGTGATGATATTTAGGTTTGTAGGTATTGTAAATGATGATATTTAGGTTTGTAGGTATTGTATGTGATGATATTTAGGTTTGTAGGTATTGTAAATGATGATATTTAGGTTTGTAGGTATTGTATGTGATGATATTTAGGTTTGTAGGTATTGTAAATGATGATATTTAGGTTTGTAGGTATTGTAAATGATGATATTTAGGTTTGTAGGTATTGTATGTGATGATATTTAGGTTTGTAGGTATTGTAAGTGATGATATTTAGGTTTGTAGGTATTGTAAATGATGATATTTAGGTTTGTAGGTATTGTATGTGATGATATTTAGGTTTGTAGGTATTGTAAGTGATGATATTTAGGTTTGTAGGTATTGTAAGTGATGATATTTAGGTTTGTAGGTATTGTATGTGATGATATTTAGGTTTGTAGGTATTGTAAATGATGATATTTAGGTTTGTAGGTATTGTATGTGATGATATTTAGGTTTGTAGGTATTGTAAGTGATGATATTTAGGTTTGTAGGTATTGTAAATGATGATATTTAGGTTTGTAGGTATTGTATGTGATGATATTTAGGTTTGTAGGTATTGTAAATGATGATATTTAGGTTTGTAGGTATTGTATGTGATGATATTTAGGTTTGTAGGTATTGTAAATGATGATATTTAGGTTTGTAGGTATTGTATGTGATGATATTTAGGTTTGTAGGTATTGTAAGTGATGATATTTAGGTTTGTAGGTAGTGATGTAAGTGATGATATTTAGGTTTGTAGGTATTGTAAGTGATGATATTTAGGTTTGTAGGTATTGTAAGTGATGATATTTAGGTTTGTAGGTATTGTATGTGATGATATTTAGGTTTGTAGGTATTGTAAGTGATGATATTTAGGTTTGTAGGTATTGTAAGTGATGATATTTAGGTTTGTAGGTATTGTATGTGATGATATTTAGGTTTGTAGTGGTATTGTAGGTATTGTATGATGATATTTAGGTTTGTAGGTGATGATATTTAGGTTTGTAGGTATTGTAAGTGATGATATTTAGGTTTGTAGGTATTGTAAGTGATGATATTGATATTTAGGTTTGTATGTGATGATATTTAGGTTTGTAGGTATTGTAATATTTAGGTTTGTGATGATATTTAGGTTTGTAGGTATTGTATGTGATGATATTTAGGTTTGTAGGTATTGTAAGTGATGATATTTAGGTTTGTAGGTATTGTAAGTGATGATATTTAGGTTTGTAGGTATTGTAAATGATGATATTTAGGTTTGTAGGTATTGTATGTGATGATATTTAGGTTTGTAGGTATTGTAAGTGATGATATTTAGGTTTGTAGGTATTGTAAGTGATGATATTTAGGTTTGTAGGTATTGTATGTGATGATATTTAGGTTTGTAGGTATTGTAAATGATGATATTTAGGTTTGTAGGTATTGTATGTGATGATATTTAGGTTTGTAGGTATTGTAAGTGATGATATTTAGGTTTGTAGGTATTGTAAATGATGATATTTAGGTTTGTAGGTATTGTATGTGATGATATTTAGGTTTGTAGGTATTGTAAGTGATGATATTTAGGTTTGTAGGTATTGTATGTGATGATATTTAGGTTTGTAGGTATTGTAAGTGATGATATTTAGGTTTGTAGGTATTGTAAGTGATGATATTTAGGTTTGTAGGTATTGTAGTGGATATTTAGGTTTGTAGGTATTGTGATATTTAGGTTTGTAGGTAGTGATGATATTTAGGTTTGTAGGTATTGTAAGTGATGATATTTAGGTTTGTAGGTATTGTAAGTGATGATATTTAGGTTTGTAGGTATTGTAGTGATGATATTTAGGTTTTGTAGTGATGATATTTAGGTTTGTAGGTAAGTGATGATATTTAGGTTTGTAGGTATTGTAAGTGATGATATTTAGGTTTGTAGGTATTGTAAGTGATGATATTTAGGTTTGTAGGTATTGTAAGTGATGATATTTAGGTTTGTAGGTATTGTAAGTGATGATATTTAGGTTTGTAGGTATTGTAAGTGATGATATTTGGGTTGGTAAGTATTGTGATATGATTTTATGCTAACTGATATGAACTGTCACTATGCTAAATGTGTTTGAAGAATTACTGGGGAGGATTGAAGAAGTGTACACAAGTCGTGGGTAATTTTCCATGTCTGTTGTTGCTCTTTATTTATTTAGTTTTGTGGTTTTGGTTGCCCAAGTTTGTGTTACTTTGTTTTACTGTTGTATATATTGTTGTGTTTAGTAAATAGTGAGTAGAAGTCATGATAACACGTTACCTCCAATGTTGTGTGTGTACATCATTCAATACATAGATGCTTAAAAGAAAAAAAAAAAAAAAAAACAAGAAAATACCAACATGTCAACATAATCACGATGCACTCTCAAATTTCATAAAAATAGTGCATAATGATATGAACAAGGGAACACGGAAACTCCTGAGAAATGTAAAAGGAGAATAAGACCACGTGTTCCGGAAGAGTAGGCGCCTTCTGATTCATCGACGACACCCGCCATGTAAACTTTGTCAATCCAAGTAAGTAATGTCACGTTCTCAGAATATTTCTCAATGTGATAACTATAACGACCATATAACTGCTCCATACTTTCCATCAACCTGCATTTTTGTTTTTTGAAAACTTGTGTCACGATGTTGGCCATCAGTTGACGACTTCTTGCAACAAACTTGAACCTGATTCGAACCATATAAGGGTGGGTATTCCATAACATTTTAGCTGTAGTGAAAATAAATCTGGGATCGGACATCGTGCTTCTAGTTTCATTTTCATACTGATAAAAAAGATAAGAAGGAAAGGTTCTTACTGGAAAAGAACATCCAGAAACTGGCCACCCATATGGAATATCTACAAGATGACAACGTAGTCTTCATCTACTGTAAGGTCAAAGTCAAGACATATCTTGCTGAAGTAAGAGGATGTTATTACCAGGTCTTAAAACAACTGTTGGTCAAAGTGAGATAGCGAAACATGTTGATGACATCATCGTCACATCAGAAAAACAACAAATAAATAATAAAAAATAACTGCAAATTTCTGAAACGTAAGTGGTAGATTAATATTGTTTTCCTAATTAAGAGCTTTTTAATCACGATATTGAAGTCTTCTAACGAGAAAGCCAGATACTTACCTCGTAAAACATGTAAGATGCGAGACAAACACAGAAGAAGTTGTAAGGGAGTAGTACCCATTTAAGCGGAACGGGTTGTCTGCCCCTCATCACGGAAGGTCCCGCCAGGACAACGACAATATAGGAGAGGAATATTATTGAGATAATGGCCGGGTTTCCCATCAGCAGCCAATTCTCTACTCTCTTGTCTGAAACACAAAAACAAATAAATGTCTCGGCATCATCATCGCAGATTTATCGATGGTCGATTCAGAAATGGCGGCTGGTAATTATTTTGCTTTGGTTTTGTTTTTTGTTTTTTTTCAAAAAGAATGTGTTACTTATCAACTGAATGTTCACAAAGCGATTTATTTTCGTGATCGGATAATGTTACACCATCTGATCGAGCGTAACTTTGGGGATCAGAATGAAAACAAGGGACCACAAATAAAGTCAGTGTATTTGCACGGTTTAAAAAGTTCATCCGTGCGTACGCCTTTCTGTCCGTCGCCTTTTGTCTCTTTTTGAATCACTTCTCTAGTGCAGAATGGTATAAAGATTTTTATTCGTGTCATGTGACTTTCCCCGTAACAGGTGATATACTACCTCCGCGAGCCATTGATGAAGAATAGAACTCCTGGACTCGTTCCATGAATGTCTCCGCCATCGTTATTTCTTCCTGAAGAAACAAATAATAAAAAAGAATTCATGGCATGGATATGATAATGATGCAAACTTTGTTATAAGAACATATTACACAAATCTGGTAGAAAACGGAAATTAAGTTTTCAGGATCACGTGTTCATCGCAAGCCAACAAATGTTTCGTTTTTGTGTCATACTTTTTGTCTTTTGTTTTCTTTTTGAAACTTAAAAATATGAATACAATACAATGAATTTATGAAAATTCACAAACTGCAAATTAAGAAGGACTTTATTGAGTTACTAAATATTGTGCTAATTTATATCTTACAATATTTGTGATTAAACAAATATATTGTAATTGGTTATCGTGTATACTGGTCTTCATCTAGAGGTAAGCAATAAACAAAATATTTATACATAAATAATGCTATCTCAATTTTATAACACAAACTACCTCTTTTAAAATTTCCTATTTAATAAAAATGGTACAACATATTAAAGTTTGAACTAGGAAACCTCCCATTGCATCCAAATACTCATTTTGTTAAGTTAGAAAAAAATTGCTATTTATTTGTAAACTGCATCGAGTTGGATGACGTCTTACGATACTGGTCTTAGAAGTTTTTAATTTTAAGAGCCTTGGCGAGCGAAAATTAAAAACTTCAAGTCCGGTTGGATTAAATCTAAAATGAAATGAAAACAAATGTGAAATATTTGACCAAGAAAATATCATTTTTTTTTTACAGAAAATCAAATGAATACAGTCATTTTCAATACGTTGTCCATATTACGACATCGCAGTCGATATTGATTAGATCAGCCAATGAAAATATTACACGGTATATTACACTACTGACAAACAAAATATTACACGGTATATTACACTACTGACATATACAAAATATTACACGGTATATTACACTACTGACATAAACAAACTATTACACAGTATATTACACTTCTGACAAACAAAATATTACACGGTATATTACACTACTGACATATACAAAATATTACACAGTATATTACACTACTGACAAACAAAATATTACACGGTATATTACACTACTGACATATACAAAATATTACACGGTATATTACACTACTGACAAACAAAATATTACACGGTATATTACACTACTGACAAACAAAATATTACACGGTATATTACACTACTGACATATACAAAATATTACACGGTATATAACACTACTGACATATACAAAATATTACACGGTATATTACACTACTGACATATACAAAATATTACACGGTATATAACACTACTGACAAATAAAATATTACACAGTATATCACACTACTGACATATACAAAATATTACACAGTATATTACACTACTGACATATACAAAATATTACACGGTATATTACACTACTGACATATACAAAATATTACACAGTATATTACACGATATATTACACTACTGACATATACAAAATATTACACAGTATATTACACAGTATATTACACTACTGACATATACAAACTATTACACAGTATATTACACGGTATATTACACTACTGACATATACAAACTATTACACAGTATATTACACAGTATATTACACTACTGACATATACAAAATATTACACAGTATATTACACTACTGACATAAACAAAATATTACACAGTATATTACACTACTGACATAAACACGGTATATTACACTACTGACAAACAAAATATTACACAGTATATTACACTACTGACATATACAAACTATTACACGGTGTATTACACTACTGACATATACAAAATATTACACAGTATATTACACTACTGACATATACAAACTATTACACAGTATATTACACATCTGACAAACAAAATATTACACGGTATATTACACTACTGACATATACATATACGGTATAAAATATATACACGGTATATAACACTGACAAACAAAATATTACACGGTATATTATATACAAACAAAATATTACACGGTATATTACACTACTGACATATACAAAATATTACACGGTATATAACACTACTGACATATACAAACTATTACACAGTATATTACACAGTATATTACACTACTGACATATACAAAATATTACACAGTATATTACACAGTATATTACACTACTGACATATACAAACTATTACACAGTATATTACACGGTATATTACACTACTGACATATACAAACTATTACACAGTATATTACACAGTATATTACACTACTGACATATACAAAATATTACACAGTATATTACACTACTGACATAAACAAAATATTACACAGTATATTACACTACTGACATATACAAACTATTACACAGTATATTACACTACTGACATATACAAAATATTACACGGTATATTACACTACTGACATAAACAAAATATTACACAGTATATACTGACATATACAAAATATTACACAGTATATTACACTAGTATATTACACTACTGACATATACAAAATATTACACGGGTATATTACACTACTGACATATACAAAATATTACACAGTATATTACACGGTATATTACACTACTGACAAACAAAATATTGCACGGTATATTACACTACTGACATATACAAAATATTACACGGTATATTACACTACTGACAAACAAAATATTACACGGTATATTACACTACTGACATATACAAAATATTACACGGTATATTAACTACTGACATTACACAGTATATTACACTACTGACAAACAAAATATACATTACACTACTGACATATACAAAATATTAACTATGACAAACAAAATACACGGTATATTATACTACTACTGACATATACAAAATATTACACAGTATATTACACTACTGACATAAACAAAATATTACACGGTATATTACACTACTGACATATACAAAATACTACACAGTATATTACACTACTGACATATACAAAATATTGTATATTACACTACTGACATATACAAACAAAGTATATATTACACAGTATATTACACTACTGACATATACAAACTATTACACGGTATATTACACTACTGACATAAACAAACTATTACACAGTATATTACACTACTGACATAAACAAACTATTACACAGTATATTACACTACTGACATAAACAAACTATTACACAGTATGACATATACAAAATATTACAGAGTATATTACACTACTGACAAACAAAATATTACACGGTATATTACACTACTGACATATACAAAATATTACACGGTATATAACACTACTGACATATACTGACATAAACAAAATATTACACGGTATATTACACTACTGACATATACAAAATATTACACGGTATATTACACTACTGACATATACAAAATATTACACGGTATATTACACTACTGACATATACAAAATATTACACGGTATATTACACTACTGACAAACAAAATATTACACGGTATATTACACTACTGACATATACAAAATATTACACGGTATATTACACTACTGACATATACAAAATATTACACGGTATATTACACTACTGACATATACAAAATATTACACGGTATATTACACTACTGACATATACAAGATATTACACGGTATATTACACGGTATATTACACGGTATATTACACGGTATATTACACTACTGACATAAACAAACTATTACACAGTATATTACATTACTGAACATATACAAAATATTACACAGTATATTACACTACTGACATATACAAAATATTACACGGTATATATTACAAAATATTACACGGTATATTACTTACTATTTACAATAAATAGCAATAATAATCTAAAAAAGAAAAACCTCCAAAAGAGAAATCTTAAATTAAAAACCTGAAAATAAAAAAATGAAACCTCCAAATATAATCATCTGAAAATAGAAACCTCCAAAAGAGTGATTTTAAAAAAAACTCCAAAATGATAATTAAAAAACATCAATTTCCAAAATTAAAAAAAATCTTAAATTAGAAAACCTGCAAACGAAAATATAAAGATAGAAACTTCCAAAATAACAATTCCTTTTTTAGAACTTCCAAAATAATGATGTAAAAAGTAACCACCAAAATAGCGATCCCAACTGTATTTGAGATAGAAATAAACGTAAATTGAACAAGAAGAAACATGAAACAGAATTCTGATTTTCCTTGTAAAACATCGCCCTCGTAATCCGGATCTTGAATCGCGTCGTCCACGCCAATGTTTAGTTTAGTTAACACCCCAATCGAAAATCCTACAAGCTACATTCATTAACTTTTCTAGATCTGGTAAACACTCGCAACAGAGGTAGTTAAAAGCTTACCAATATTATTGAAGCATGAACAGTGTTTCAGTGGCCCAGGGGTACCAGACGGATTTACTAGGTTCAGTTAACAACGATCAAAACTTCGTCTACCGCCTTATTGCTTTGTCGGTGCAAGGGAAATAACTCTCCATACGTTCAAAGTCCGAGGCGTTGTGTTTGTCTACACTGGGTATATCTAGGTTCAATATGAGATAAGGTTGACCACGTGGTTTCTCTGTATAATCGGTGGTGACGAGTACACCAATAGCGTGTATTTCTTTTGGATTTCAGATGAGTTTGACAAAGTGCCCAACGACAGTTTGTGATCATTTCTGGATGTTTATTTTTTATTTAATATATGATAGGGCATAAACCTTACGGATTCCATTGTTCTCGTGCTATACATATTGAAACCGAGGGGTGTATGAGCGTGAAACAAACAACTCTTAACAAATAACGCTTAATATTATTGATACACATATTACATAGACGATTACGGACTGACTGTTAACACTTATCCATAAAGTACGTACGTTTAACAGGGAATAATAGAATAACAAGTAATAAATTGGAAACATATAATATAATTATTTCCTTAACTATTATTTCAATAAATTATAAATTACCTTTACACATATTTCATAAGTGTATGGACTTCTCATTACAATATATACTTCTTTATTGGTACTCGTGAATGGCAAATCACATTCACGAACGTGTTACACTAATAAAAGGGACACAAATATATAACTCATTTACTAAATTGATAATCACCTCTGTGTGGCAGAAGGCCTTGGCTACTTGCCCAGCTAATTCATTTGATACGAATACAACTATGACATCTGTAAATACATAAACAATAGTGAAAATAAAATTGAATAAAAACATGATCGTACCGGCCGGTATAATGGCGGTCAATCGGGTAAACCCCACACGTACGTACAAATAATACCAAGGACTCTTGGAAAAATACCCCGCGCCGGTTGGGATAAAGGGCAATATAACAGGTTAGAACATATTAATTCTGAAATCGAGATTATACCTCTCTTCTTTCAGTGTCCATCGTCACTGCTGTCATTCTGTCAACTCTTCGTCTACACACAAAAGAAACCGCAAAGAGGAGAGAGAATAGAGAGCGACAGAGAGTGAAAGACAGAGAGAGATAGAGAAACAGGCAGAGAGAGACAGACAGACAGAGAGAGAGAGAGAGAGAGAGAGAGAGAGAGAGAGAGAGAGAGAGAGAGAGAGAGAGAGAGATCTACATTCATATGTATTACTTAAATTTCAATTAAGAGGTCGTAATCAATAGACGTGGCACTGTTTCTCAAACAAGTTTTATTAATTTTATAAACATTTCATTTCACATCGAAAACAATCAACGATTTAATTGTTTCTTATTTTAAATGTTTCGTTCGAAATACAATAGAAAAATAACACGTGATCTCCCTTCTATTAAAACATCACATTCCGACAGAAGCATTCGATCCAAGAACCGTTGGAGCCGAGAGCTGGGATCTTACCACTGTGTTGTCGTTCCGTTATTGGTTCCATGTACATTAAGTTTAGTGTTTGAATTGTCGATGCTTCTTCCAGGAAAAGTAAACAGAACCCTGTATATTTGTCTACACTTAGTATTTAAGTTAATAGAATATACACCTGAAATTTAACACGTCGTCTAGTGTCTTTGATCACTTTGAATTCGCATTAGTCACCTCCTGGGCTTTGAAATTTAGTCCCTTGATATCACTGACGAGTGCTATAAGGACGGAACAGCTGTATGATACAGTTTAATTCTTAATTTGGCTTTACTGTATCTAACTCTTATTAAGGGTATTTTCACTTGTGTGTCTTTTGTATAATCTTCATAGAAACCTTCTTAGTAAAGGCTACAAATTGACAACTGTTGGTAAAACATGTTACATCTGTGTAAATCTATTCATTGATATTGAAATACATATATTCTAAATAAAAAAAGAAAGGTAACACTACTTTATTCTGTGATTAATTAATTAACCACTTCATAAATCTTTACCAATCATGTACGAATAAAGTAATTGATCAATTATGATAAAACTGCAGTCATGGTTCATTATAAAACTGCGTTCAGTTGATTTTATTCGACTGTAAAGGACGTTGGGGTCAATTTCAAAGGTAACACCATTAGTAACGGGTATGGCCACCGTTTGCGAAGTAAACAGCATTGCAGCGTCGTCGCATGGAACTCGTAAACCGGCGGATAATTCGAGGAGAGATGTTGTTCCATTCAGCGATCAAGGCTTGGGCCAGCTCCTGCAAGTTTGACGGCTGATTTTGACGTTCTCTCACGCGTCGCCCAAGAATGTCCCAGACATGCTCAATCGGTGACAAATCAGGTGATTTAGATGGCCAATCTAACACCTGTACGTTATTCTGCTGCAACGCCATGGCGTCTTAAGAATGGCAGAATCGCTGGTCTTAAAATTTCGTCCCGATATCGAATGCCGGTTAAATTGCCATTTAACACAACAAGCCTGGTACGAGTCCCCCCACAAATACCACTCCAAACCATTACACTTCCGCCGCCAAAGCGGTCCCGTTCTGAGTTGCAGCAGTTCGCAAAACGCTCCCCTTGTCGCCTCCACACTCTGCGCCTTCCGTCACCGTGTTGCAGACAAAACCTGGACTCATCTGAAAACAGAACGTTGTTCCATTGTCCTAAGGCCAAACGACGGTGAACACGGGTCCAGTTACGCCGATTATTACGGTGACGTCGCAACAAATTGGGTCCAGTGTAGGGACGCCGCGCTTTCAATTGGTAGGCCCTCAACCTGTTGCGGACTGTTTGGGGAGACACACGACGCCAAAACAGTAGTCTCTACTGCGGTTACGAATCGATTGCGCAAGTGCATCAATCGTATACGACAGTCATCCCTGGCGGTCGTTTTACAGGGTCGGCCGCTTCGGGGACGATCGGATGTTGACCCAGTTTGGTTTAAACGACTTACCAACTGGCAAATTGTCTTAACACTGCAACCAAAATGCCGTGCAACTCGACGGCGAGACTCCCCAGCCTGGATCATGCCTACAGCCCTTTCTCTCTGTAGTTGTGACAGCCGGAGCATAATGATAAAGTTGATAGATAGCAAGATTCGGTGATTTCTAAGCCCTAAGGATCTAAGGAACAGTTGTCAGTTTGAATGTTTATGAAATTCAAGCGAAGATACAAGTTAGTCGCAGAAAACCTCGTGCAGCTCTTTCGCTAATACAGACTTTCGCGCTTGAATGATTTTGGTAACACCCTTGGATTTTGTAATGTAAAACATTACCATTTTCTAATATTGCACATACGTCATTTTGTTTTCACTCCTTTACAGGTATTCGCCAAGGAAACATGTTCACCTTCCTTTTTTGTTGAGTATATTTTCCAATCAGCCGGAAAGTAAAAAGTAACCTTTGTAGTTATAGTTTATTTTTTTTTAAATTTGTTGTTCCTGGTCAATTTTAGACCGCAAATATCGAGAGAAATCCTGTTTGTTTATTTAGATATGTTGTCAGTTGTTTGAGGTTCTGCTTTGGAGACAATGAAACGCCCACCGTCCTCCCTTTGGTGTATTTCTTATACGTGTTTCATGAAGTCGTCTGTGTGGGTGTACGCTCATTTACATATAAGGTGCTGTTTCTCTTACAATCCAATGCAACTAATAAAACCAACCTATCGAGAAGTATTCATGGTTAAAAATTACTATGTAGCAATACTTTCACGAAAAAGCTGAAATATGGTGAGATTTAAAAACTATTGGGTTCTGGTGTAGCGGATATGTTTTACATACGTTCGATAAACGTTGCCTATACCGTGATACATAATGATATCGTGTAAAAACAATGAAATAAAATCAGTGAAACGGAGGTGAAGACCGAAAGTTTATTTTCACAATTTACAAAATGTAATGCCCGACATTACTTTAATGTCTGATTTTCGTTGGTATTCGTAAATAAGTGTATTTTGAAGTGAATCGATTTTAAACACCGAGTTTAAGATTCTTCCTGTCGTATATATAGAACACAAAAGCGTTATTAGAACACGTCTTCAAACTGAAGTCAAGTGTGATTTTCCTGCCAAGCCTGTGTTGTCACGTGAACAAAGCGCCCGAAAATAGTGTTCTCCTTATCCCTTTTCCTAGTCGCGTTTATGAAAATTACTGGTATGTTTCTCACGGTCTGCTAAGTTTATATACACTCCTGGCTATCGTAGTAAACGCATGTTGTCCGTGTCGTTATTTTATGGTATTTATCAATGAATTTCCGTTGTTTTCTGAGTATGAAGTTAAACTATGTGAGATGAGCTATTCCAGTGTCCGTTTTTAATACGTTTGTTAAAATTTAATTAACCGCTGCAAATTGCACACGGTGGATATTCTGTATGATATAGGGCCCTAATTTGAATGTCAGGGTTATGTCATTCAGATAAGTTTACACAGACATATTTATATAACCTGGGAATATTGGCGACCGTGACAGGTATTTGTTTTCGTCTAACAGATGCAGATTTCTCGGACAGTGGAAGAAAGTCAGTATAGAGCAAGTTTTGATTTAAACATTTGTCATTGCAAATAAATATTTTCACAATAAATCGGACACAAGTTTTCATAACTACCTCATACTTTACTTAAAAATCAAAAATACAAGCAATAAATCGATAGGACAATTTACGAGAGAGAGAGAGAGAGAGAGAGAGAGAGAGAGAGAGAGAGAGAGAGAGAGAGAGAGAGAGAGAGAGAGAGAGAGAGAGGGTGGGGGGGGGGGGGGGGGGGGGGCAGAATAAGACTTCAGGGAGTGCTTGGTCAAACCAGATACTTTCAAAAAGTTCAACAAAATAAACAGAACGATATATATCATGATGATACACGTACACATGTTATGTGTTGTATGTAGGTGTGTTATCTCCATTCACAATGCCCCTTATAAAGCCTTGTAATTTCTAATATCATGCCGTCAACCTTAATTCACAAAGGGCCTGTACATCCTACCTTGAAAAATACCAGGAATCGGTTCAGTCTTAATGAGTTGATGATGATATATTGGTCAGATAAAAAAATGCTTTAAAGATATTGTATTCATATCGTACGGATCATTTGATGGAGAAACACGGCCATGATTTCTGTCTTACTTTAAAAAATAATGTTTGTTTTTTTATACTTTACGACGTTTAACAAATCATTTCTCGAAGTTCATTGTTATCTGAGTTCAGATGACAAATTTTTATCATTTACTTATATCAGGTATCCATTTCCCCTGCCTCCTTTTATCTGCCTTGTTTACCGTCAAATACGTGTGCCTCGTTGGGATCTTAAGGTTGGATCTCAGTTCCTAGTTACTGGTTCCTGGTTCCGGAACTGGGAACCAGACCCCAGTTTACTACAATTAGTTGTTTATACTGTATTACTAACAGATCTAAAGTTTTGACCCAAGTTCCATTGTTCATGGTATTTTAGTCTTTAAACTGTGGTCTGGTTCCTAGTTCCGTTTTTTAGTTGAACAGGACTGAGTTCTGGTTCCAATGTCTATTTTTCTTACACAGAACTAGAGTCTGGTTTCCAGGTATTTTTTTTATAAAACGGAACTGGGAAACTTGGAACTATGAACTAATTTCAGGCTCCCTGTGATTGTGTCGTGATATTAGCTATCCATGTGATTATTTCCATTTCTTCGCCAATCGCTTTGACGATTGGAATGATTGTCATAGTTACATGTAAATATGTTTTCATGATTCAACAATTTTCATAGTTGCTTTCACCGGTACTCCTGTTACTTATAGTGTCTAGAGGACGGATGTTTGTTTGGTATGGTAAGTCTAAAGGACGGATGTTTGTTTGGTATGGTAAGCCTAGAGGACGGATGTTTGTTTGGTATGGTAAGTCTAGAGGACGGATGTTTGTTTGATATAGTAAGTCTAGGGGACGGATGTTTGTTTGGTATGGTAAGTCTAGAGGACGGATGTTTGTTTGGTATGGTAAGTCTAGAGGACGGATGTTTGTTTGGTATGGTAAGTCTAGAGGACGGGTGTTTGTTTGGTATGGTAAGTCTAGAGGAGAGATGTTTGTTTGGTATGATAAGTCTAGAGGACGGATGTTTGTTTGGTATGGTAAGTCTAGAGGAGAGATGTTTGAAATGGTAAGTCTAGAGGACGGATGTTTGTTTGATATGGTAAGTCTAGAGGACGGATGTTTGTTTGGTATGGTAAGTCTAGAGGACGGATGTTTGTTTGGTATGGTAAGTCTAGAGGACGGATGTTTGTTTGGTATGGTAAGTCTAGAGGAGAGATGCTTGTTTGAAATGGTAAGTCTAGAGGACGGATGTTTGTTTGATATGGTAAGTTTAGAGGACGGATGTTTGTTTGGTATGGTAAGTCTAGAGGACGGATGTTTGTTTGGTATGGTAAGTCTAGAGGAGAGATGCTTGTTTGAAATGGTAAGTCTAGAGGACGGATGTTTGTTTGATATGGTAAGTTTAGAGGACGGATGTTTGTTTGGTATGGTAAGTCTAGAGGACGGATGTTTGTTTGGTATGGTAAGTCTAGAGGACGGATGTTTGTTTGATATAGTAAGTCTAGAGGACGGATGTTTGTTTGATATAGTAAGTCTAGAGGACGGATGTTTGTTTGGTATGGTAAGTCTAGAGGACGGATGTTTGTTTGGTATGGTAAGTCTAGAGGAGTGATGGGTTTATTTGTTTGATTGTATGATTAATTGGCTCGTCCATAGTCAGGGTTATATGAAGGCTTGCTTTCCTTGTAGTAGCAGATGGATTCTGCATTGCATTATTTCCGGGACATTCGCCTCAAGTCATCCAAAAGGACAAATCCTATAATAGTGTCCGTCCGTCCGTTCGATGAATGGAGATCAAATATTTGATATATAGGATTTCTTCTGAGTGAAGCCTAACAGTCCAACTTAAACAAAACAATTGAATGTGACGTCATGGTGTCCGTGCTGATCTTAAATGAGCTTGTTTCTTTCTTTTTACGTTGGTCTGTGAAATTAGATTTAAAAAAAAACAATGAAGTATACAGCGTTCTGTCGAAAAGGTAATGAAGTGGTGGTTATTTCTCGAAATTCCTAACCAGAAAACGAGAATCTTTTTATGGCCGCAGCCATTTTCACAGTTGTTATTGAGGTGACTGTACTGCCAATTCCTAGAGACACTACAGAAAGATATTTATGTTACTCTGAAAGTAGAATTTCCACTGAATACATGTCTTTGTGCGTGAACAGCCGCAATTTTATGTTTAAGTTTCATGGAAAAATGTGTTTTTGATCGACATAAGGCTGTATCACCACGGGACGTAGAAATTTGATTACAAATGCACATTGGCATCACGGGTACCGGAAGTGGACCCGAGATCACTTGATATCATACCAAGACTTTTTTCACAAGAGTAAAAATTGAAGCCAGATTGTGTTTATCACAAATATAAATATTTTATTAACAATTAGACAATAATGCTTTGGCCATCAAAATAAATCTGCTGTAAATCTAGGGGATTTTTGTTATAGACGTTCATTGTATAAAGCTAATATCGTTCACAATTAAAAACATAACGACTTGTATATATATATAAACACACCATATATAAATCACAAAAATGTTTTCAACAACACTAAAAGTAAAATCGAATAACCCGACAGGTAATCCGACTTCAATCGTGTAAACTAGTCTATAAGAGTATTATCAATATTGGCACATGGCTCAGGATGTTCATTGATATCACCGTTTTGGCTAGGTATTGTTGAGTCTATGTTTATTTGATGTGGAAGTGTGACTACGCCCTCTTTGTCTTGGTGGTGATAATAGATAATACTTCGATAACCTCATTTTGACTAGATGTCGGTGTGGTTTGGTGTATGAGTTGGTGTAGGTGAGTCTAGGTTATAACGGGAGTTAATTCTCCTTTGATTTGGTGTAGGTGTGTCTAGGTTGTGACGGGGTTAATTCTCCTTTGATTTGGTGTAGGTGTGTCTAGGTTGTGACGGAGTTAACTCTCCTTTGACTTGGTGTAGGTGTGTCTAGGTTGTGACGGGGTTAATTCTCCTTTGATTTGGTGTAGGTGTGTCTAGGTTGTGACGGGGTTTATTCTCCTTTGACTTGGTGTAGGTGTGTCTAGGTTGTGACGGAGTTAATTCTCCTTTGATTTGGTGTAGGTGTGTCTAGGTTGTGACGGGGTTAATTCTCCTTTGATTTGGTGTAGGTGTGTCTAGGTTGTGACGGGGTTTATTCTCCTTTGACTTGGTGTAGGTGTGTCTAGGTTGTGACGGAGTTAATTCTCCTTTGATTTGGTGTAGGTGTGTCTAGGTTGTGACGGGGTTAATTCTCCTTTGATTTGGTGTAGGTGTGTCTAGGTTGTGACGGGGTTTATTCTCCTTTGACTTGGTGTAGGTGTGTCTAGGTTGTGACGGGGTTTATTCTCCTTTGACTTGGTGTAGGTGTGTCTAGGTTGTGACGGAGTTAATTCTCCTTTGATTTGGTGTAGGTGTGTCTAGGTTGTGACGGAGTTATTTCTCCTTTGATTTGGTGTAGGTGTGTCTATGTTGTGACGGGGTTAATTCTCCTTTGACTTGGTGTAAGTGTGTCTAGGTTGTGACGGGGTTAATTCTCCTTTGATTTGGTGTAGGTGTGTCTAGGTTGTGACGGAGTTAATTCTCCTTTGACTTGGTGTAGGTCTTTTTGAAGAAGTTTGAAAACAACAACACTAGAGTGATTGCGTATATAAACACAGCGTAGTTAAATCCGACGGGAAAATCACAGTCGGTCGTCATATTGTATCCCGTATGGAGGATGACAGCGAAAAACTGACTCTGTAAGTAAAACGGATCGTCAATTAGAACCAGCTCTAGTGATTATCCAAGTATCAAACTTAATTAAGTTTCATTTTGTCAGTTACGAAACAGATGATAGATTTGGAATTTGGAGATTTTGGGGTTAAGGTTACAGAGAAAGGCATGATATTGTTGACGGACTATCAGGAAGAAAATCGACAAGACATTGATAAAAATGAATACAGAGGCACAACAATGTCTGAGAAATTCAAAGACCAATGTTGCGATTCTGTACTTGTTATATGGAGATCTTTTGAAAACAACGCGTCCGCAACAGAGCAAGGTAGCATACACCCTGAAATAAATCGCTCCCAACTTTACCTGTATGTGCAAAAGTAAATATTTAGAATAGAAAAATAACCAGCCAGTTATTCTCAATTTTCATATACATCGTATGGCTAGTTGATATTCCATTTGATTCTATTTCATTTGATAAGACTCGATAAGTTATTACGTGATCAGTTTTATAAATAACACTTACAAGCTGGAGAATTGTAAGATAACGCTTCCACCATAGATATTTCTTCATTTGTGGACCAAGGGCAGATAACCCGTAGTATGCGTACATCACAATATGGACGAAACAGTTTATGTTTGCGAGGAACCAAGCTGAAATAGAAAATGATAAATCTTTGAAATGGGAGACGTGGCAAATGCTCGAAACAAATGTATCACCATTTATAAAAGATAAATATGACATGTTTCATAACATAGAACTCTTTCAGAGTAAGGTCTGTTGTTTGTCTGACGTCAGATGCTTGTCTGACGCCAGTAGCTTGTCTGACGCTAGTTGCTTGCCAGATGTCTGATGTTTGTCTGACGTAAGTTCCTTGTCTGATGTCTGCTGTTTGTCTGGCGTAAGTTCCTTGTCTGACGTCAGCTCCTTGTCTGATGTTTGTCTGACGTCAGATGCTTGGCTGACATCAGTTGCTTGTCTTACATCAGTTGCTTGCCAGATGTCTGATGTTTGTCTGACGTAAGTTCCTTGTCTGATGTCTGCTGTTTGTCTGGCGCTAGTTGCTAGTTCCTGAGGTCCCTGTGTACTAACTTTGATAAGTATTCAACAATATGTTCCGTCACCGGAAGCCAAAACCGGAAATTGTAATGCATGTTATGAATTAGAATTGCGTGTATAATTTAAATGGCCTGATATGTATGCACGTTCCTTTTTACAACAACTGTATTTTAAATTTCAAGAAATAAATATGCTTAATATAATTGATAAATACATAATCAAGCGATCTAGCATTGTTCAACCTTGACCCGTTGTGACTTACCTTGACCTCCAGCCACGAACTTGACCCCTAGCCACCAATTGATTGGCATGGTACTATGATGATACACGTGCAGAAAAGTTATCTGGTCATTTTTCTTTCTCAAAATAAAAAATGTCTGAAATAAAAAAAAAATAATAATAGAAAAAAAAATAAAGAAAGAAGTTCTCCACAGAAGAGTAAGTCTGGAACTTCCTAGTGATAAGTCTCAATAAACAAAACCAGGATTTATGTAAAGTGGTCTTAAAAAGAAAATAAAATGTACTAGATTCACAGTCTTCCGATTTGATTATTGTGGTTTTTTTTATTTGTATTTATTTATCCATTTCATTTATTTGCTGTTTGAATAGGTGACTTTTCATCTCGAAAATTTACAAAAATTTCTCCGGGATATTGGAATGCGTCATGGCCAAATTGAAGATCTCGCTCCTTTGCTGTCTTGGTGTCGCTCCGTCGCCCTGAGAGTTGAGATCTAGGGAGTGAGGCTGGCTATCTGGTTCTGATCGGCCATCATAAAAATGGAACTAGTATTGAGGACATACGTTTATTTGAAATAATTCCTGATGTGTACAGGTTATCTCTTTCATTTCTTTTTAACATTGCAAAGCCTAGTTGGTTCCTGTGTTAAGTTGTACATGACTAGATCATCATTATTTAAAAGCTTTATCGTTGTGCTTATTTACAAATCGATAAACGATGTATTAACATCAGTATGTTAAGGATTAACAGTTTCAGGAAAATTTCCTTAAGCAATGCTTTTCTATCGGCAATTTTGAGTTAATTCCTTAAGTCAAAGTAGATTCATGAAACTGGGACCAGTGCAATAATTCTGTACGATTGATTACTTTGAACTTTCCAATTGAATTGTTTCTAAACGAAAATTAAAAAAATAACAAACGAAAACAAAAAAAGACAAAAAAAAAAAAAACAAAAACAAAAACAAAAACAAAAAAAAACCTCCAAATAAAGAAATAAAGTCAAAAAGAAGAAGAACTTGATCACGATAAAGATTATATTGGTATGCTAGAGAAAGTTCTGCTGATGTGTAGGATAGGGCTGGAAAATGTTAATATCATCTGAAGTACAATACCTATACAAGGTGTGAGAACAGGTCAGGTTTTAGGATGAGCCTGGTATTATGTAGAGAATGGACCGGAAGTCTGTATTATGGCACTTGAGGTCAAATCTTGTGTGTCGTAACCCTATTGTTTACTTACTGTGTCTAAAAATTCTATTATTTTGGAGAAAAAGTACCACCAGCAGACATTTGCCATCTGTAAAGAGATAAATTTTATGAAAAACAAATAACAATGATAAAAAAACAAAACCGAAAAGTAGTGACATGTCAACAAGAATAATAAAATCCAAACTCAAAGTCAATAAAACTAGGGAAAAACTATGAACACAGAAATATTCTCACGGAGACTCATGTAAAAGGTACAGGCGTTCCTAAAGGGTAAGCTTCTTATGTTGTATCGACCAACAAATATTGGCGGTTAAGTCAGTCTAAGCAAGCAATGTCATATTACAAACGAGGAAACAATACAATTCCCTATGTTACATACTAACCACACATCAGTCGGGGGAGGTCAAAACACACACACTGTAGTAATTAGCAGGTTCCTATGTTACACACTAACCACACATCAGTCGGGGGAGGTCAAGACACATACACTGTAGTAATTAGCAGGTCCCTATGTTACATCCTAACCACACATCAGTCGGGGGGAGGTCAAAACACACACACACTGTAGTAATTAGCAGGTCCCTATGTTACATACTAACCCCACACATCAGTCGGGGGAGGTAAAAACACACACACTGTAGTAATTAGCAGGTCCCTGTGTTACATACTAACCACACATCAGTCGGGGGAGGTCAAGACACATACACTGTAGTAATTAGCAGGTCCCTATGTTACACACTAGCCACACATCAGTCGGGGGAGGTCAAGACACATACACTGTAGTAATTACCATGTCCCTGTGTTACATGATAGCCACACATCAACGCGGAGAAGTTCAAGCTGTCATTAATTCTTAGCCTCTGGGTTTCAAATGTTCAAGAGAGCTCTACATTTGTGTTAGAAATGTTTAAGTTGTTCTGTCAAATGCTATCTGGGATTGTCCATACAAACACGTTGTGATCAACTCTCAATTCCCTGTGCGCTACGTACACAATCCCTGTAGTTTACAAGTTAACATCAAATCTTACCCGCACTGCCAATGGATCGTCAGAGTAGTTGACAGGTTCACATTGTAAACTGTAGGACGACAAGATACTGGTAACAGTGAACTGTAATATCACAGAAAAATAATCACTTCATTATTGAAACAAAGTTTGTTACCTAAACATTCTGAAGCGATGCATCAAGTGTATTGCATTCTGGTGTCAAATTTAGATTTTTTTCTTTTTAATTCTTTCCCGATTATGAAGCCATTTAGGAAACTTTTTTACAATTATTCGTGATGCAAAATGAAATAAGGTCACTTTATTTAATTTTGAAGTCAGCTGAATGGTCAATCTATCTGTATTCCACGTCGTCTCGTGTAGGAAGTCATCAATAGATCAGATTTAGTCAAAGTTTTATCTTTAAAAGACAACAGTTTTACTTCCGACGTTTAAAGGTAAGAGTACATATATAAAAAAATGTTCGCTAACTAGCATGGAAAGTATTTCTTTAATCAGGAAAATTAAAAAAGAAAACAAAGAATAAATAAATAAAATCCACCTACCTCGTAAAACATGTAAGCGGAAAGTCCGACCAGGCCAAGATTATACACCACGAGGACGGAGCTGAGGGACATCGGCTTGTAACATTCCATAGCCCGGGGGCCGTGGTATACCATCATCAGGTAGAGACCTACTAGAGTCAGGAGAGGCACCGGGGAAACCATTAACGGCCACGCCCCTACCCGGGGGTCTGGTAATAAAAGTAATACATGTTTATGAGTTTGGAAGGTCCCTTGTATCAAAATAAAATCAACAACATCTCAGAGAAATATAACATTTCAGTTTTCGTACCCCCCCCCTTTTTTTTTCTTTTCCTTTGATTTAAGTAGTGAATTCCAAAACAGTGGACGGGGATAAAAGCAAAGAGTTCTAATTTCTATTTTTAGATTCAGTTTCCATATATTCTAGTGGACGTTGTAATTCATTTCCGTCATTTCTTTTCAATTCGCATGTGCACAAATACCCATTTAAATCTAAGTCTGTGATGTACACAACCATCAATGTATCTGTCTGTGATGTACACAATCATCAGTGTATCTGCCTGTGATGTACACAACCATCAGTGTATCTGTCTGTAATGTACACAATCATCAATGTATCTGTCTGTGATGTACACAATCATCAATGTATCTGTCTGTGATGTACACAATCATCAGTGTATCTGTCTGTGATGTACACAATCATCAGTGTATCTGTCTGTGATGTACACAATCATCAGTGTATCTGTCTGTGATGTACACAATCATCAGTGTATCTAGGTCAGTGATGTACACAATCATCAGTGTATCTGTATGTGATGTACACAATCATCAATGTATCTGTCTGTGATGTACACAATCATCAATGTATCTGTCTGTGATGTACACAATCATCAATGTATCTGTCTGTGATGTACACAATCATCAATGTATCTGTCTGTGATGTACACAATCATCAATGTATCTAAGTCTGTGATGTACACAACCATCCGTGTATCGGTCTGTGATGTACACAATCATCAGTGTATCTGTCTGTGATGTACACAATCATCAGTGTATCTAAGTCAGTGATGTACACAACCATCAGTGTATCTGTATGTGATGTACACAATCATCAATGTATCTGTCTGTGATGTACACAATCATCAGTGTATCTGTCTGTGATGTACACAATCATCAGTGTATCTAAGTCAGTGATGTACACAATCATCAGTGTATCTGTATGTGATGTACACAATCATCAATGTATCTGTCTGTGATGTACACAATCATCAATGTATCTAAGTCTGTGATGTACACAACCATCCGTGTATCGGTCTGTGATGTACACAATCATCAGTGTATCTGTCTGTGATGTACACAATCATCAATGTATCTGTCTGTGATGTACACAATCATCAATGTATCGGTCTGTGATGTACACAATCATCAATGTATCTAAGTCTGTGATGTACACAACCATCCGTGTATCGGTCTGTGATGTACACAATCATCAATGTATCTGTCTGTGATGTACACAATCATTAGTGTATCTGTCTGTGATGTACACAATCATCAGTGTATCTAAGTCTGTGATGTACACAACCATCAATGTATCTGTCTGTGATGTACACAATCATCAATGTATCTAAGTCAGTGATGTACACAATCATCAGTGCATCTGTATGTGATGTACACAACCATCAGTGTATCGAAGTCTGTGATGTACACAATCATCAATGTATCTGTCTGTGATGTACACAATCATCAATGTATCTATCTGTGATGTACACAACCATCAGTGTATCGGTCTGTGATGTACACACTCATCAGTGTATCTGTCTGTGATGTACACAACCATCAGTGTATCGGTCTGTGATGTACACAATCATCAGTGTATCTGTCTGTGATGTACACAATCATCAATGTATCTGTCTGTGATGTACACTTTCATCAGTGAATCTAAGTCAGTGATGTACACAATCATCAGTGTATCGGTCTGTGATGTACAAAACCATCCGTGTATCGGTCTGTGATGTACACAATCATCATTGTATCTGTCTGTGATGTACACAATCATCAGTGTATCTAAGTCTGTGATGTACACAATCATCAATGTATCTAAGTCTGTGATGTACACAATCATCAATGTATCTGTATGTGATGTACACAATCATCAATGTATCTGTCTGTGATGTACACAATCATCAATGTATCTAAGTCTGTGATGTACACAATCATCAATGTATCTGTCTGTGATGTACACAATCATCAGTGTATCTAAGTCTGTGATGTACACAATCATCAATGTATCTGTCTGTGATGTACACAAGTCTGATCTTTGTATCTGTCTGTGATGTACACAATCATCATGTATCTGTCTGTGATGTACACAATCATCAGTCTGTGATGTACACAATCATCTGTATCTGTCTGTGATGTACACAATCATCAATGTATCTGTCTGTGATGTACACAATCATCAATGTATCTGTCTGTGATGTATGTACACAATCATCAGTGTATCTGTCTGTGATGTACACAATCATCAGTGTATCTAAGTCTGTGATGTACACAACCATCAGTGTATCTGTATGTGATGTACACAATCATCAATGTATCTGTCTGTGATGTACACAATCATCAATGTATCTGTCTGTGATGTACACAATCATCAATGTATCTGTCTGTGATGTACACAATCATTAATGTATCTAAGTCTGTGATGTACACAATCATCAGTGTATCTAAGTCTGTGATGTACACAATCATCAGTGTATCTGTCTGTGATGTACACAACCATCAGTGTATCTAAGTCTGTGATGTACACAACCATCAGTGTATCTTTATGTGATGTACACAATCATCAATGTATCTGATGTACACAATCATCAGTGTATCTGTCTGTGATGTACACAATCATCAGTGTATCTGTCTGTGATGTACACAATCATCAATGTATCTGTCTGTGATGTACACAATCATCAATGTATCTGTCTGTGATGTACACAATCATCAATGTATCTGTCTGTGATGTACACAATCATCAATGTATCTGTCTGTGATGTACACAAACATCCGTGTATCGGTCTGTGATGTACACAATCATCAGTGTATCTGTCTGTGATGTACACAATCATCAGTGTATCTAAGTCAGTGATGTACACAACCATCAGTGTATCTGTATGTGATGTACACAATCATCAATGTATCTGTCTGTGATGTACACAATCATCAGTGTATCTGTCTGTGATGTACACAATCATCAGTGTATCTGTCTGTGATGTACACAATCATCAATGTATCTGTCTGTGATGTACACAATCATCAATGTATCTAAGTCTGTGATGTACACAACCATCCGTGTATCGGTCTGTGATGTACACAATCATCAATGTATCTGTCTGTGATGTACACAATCATCAATGTATCTGTCTGTGATGTACACAATCATCAATGTATCTGTCTGTGATGTACACAATCATCAATGTATCTAAGTCTGTGATGTACACAATCATCCGTGTATCGGTCTGTGATGTACACAATCATCAATGTATCTGTCTGTGATGTACACAATCATCAGTGTATCTGTCTGTGATGTACACAATCATCAGTGTATCTAAGTCTGTGATGTACACAATCATCAATGTATCTGTCTGTGATGTACACAATCATCAATGTATCTAAGTCTGTGATGTACACAATCATCAGTGCATCTGTATGTGATGTACACAACCATCAGTGTATCGAAGTCTGTGATGTACACAATCATCAATGTATCTGTCTGTGATGTACACAATCATCAATATATCTATCTGTGATCTCAAATCAACTAAATCAAGATAGTATCGGTCTGTGATGTACACACTCATCAGTGTATCTGTCTGTGATGTACACAACCATCAGTGTATCGGTCTGTGATGTACACAACCATCAGTGTATCTTTATGTGATGTACACAATCATCAATGTATCTGTCTGTGATGTACACAATCATCAATGTATCTGTCTGTGATGTACACAATCATCAATGTATCTGTATGTGATGTACACAATCATCAATGTATCTGTCTGTGATGTACACAATCATCAGTGTATCTGTCTGTGATGTACACAATCATCAATGTATCTGTCTGTGATGTACACAATCATCAATGTATCTGTCTGTGATGTACACAATCATCAATGTATCTAAGTCTGTGATGTACACAATCATCAGTGTATCTGTCTGTGATGTACACAATCATCAATGTATCTGTCTGTGATGTACACAATCATTAGTGTATCTGTCTGTGATGTACACAATCATCAATGTATCTGTCTGTGATGTACACTTTCATCAGTGAATCTAAGTCAGTGATGTACACAATCATCATTGTATCTGTCTGTGATGTACACAATCATCAGTGTATCTGTCTGTGATGTACACAATCATCATTGTATCTGTCTGTGATGTACACAATCATCAATGTATCTAAGTCTGTGATGTACACAATCATCAATGTATCTAAGTCTGTGATGTGCACAATCATCAATGTATCTAAGTCTGTGATGTACACAATCATCAATGTATCTGTCTGTGATGTACACAATCATCAGTGTATCTGTCTGTGATGTACACAATCATCAGTGTATCTGTCTGTGATGTACACAATCATCAGTGTATCTAAGTCAGTGATGTACACAATCATCAGTGTATCTGTATGTGATGTACACAATCATCAATGTATCTGTCTGTGATGTACACAATCATCAATGTATCTGTCTGTGATGTACACAATCATCAATGTATCTGTCTGTGATGTACACAATCATCAATGTATCTGTCTGTGATGTACACAATCATCAGTGTATCTGTCTGTGATGTACACAATCATCAGTGTATCTAAGTCAGTGATGTACACAATCATTAGTGTATCTGTATGTGATGTACACAATCATCAATGTATCTGTCTGTGATGTACACAATCATCAGTGTATCTGTCTGTGATGTACACAATCATCAGTGTATCTAAGTCAGTGATGTACACAATCATCAGTGTATCTGTATGTGATGTACACAATCATCAATGTATCGGTCTGTGATGTACACAATCATCAGTGTATCTGTCTGTAATGTGCACAATCATCAATGTATCTGTCTGTGATGTACACAATCATCAATGTATCTGTCTGTAATGTACACAATCATCAGTGTAACCGTCTGTAATGTACACAACCATCAATGTATCTGTCTGTGATGTACACAACCATCAATGTATCTGTCTGTGATGTACACAATCATCAGTGTATCTAAGTCTGTGATGTACACAACCATCAGTGTATCCGTCTGTGATGTACACACTCATCAGTGTATCTAAGTCTGTGATGTACACAATCATTAGTGTATCGGTCTGTGATGTACACAACCATCAGTGTATCTGTCTGTGATGTACACAATCATTAGTGTATCTGTCTGTGATGTACACAATCATCAGTGTATCGAAGTCTGTGATGTACACAATCATCCGTGTATCTAAGTCTGTGATGTACACAACCATCAGTGTATCCGTCTGTAATGTACACAATCATCAGTGTATCTGTCTGTAATGTGCACAATCATCAATGTATCTGTCTGTGATGTACACAACCATCAGTGTATCTGTATGTGATGTACACAATCATCAATGTATCTGCCTGTGATGTACACAACCATCAGTGTATCTGTCTGTGATGTACACAATCATCAATGTATCTAAGTCAGTGATGTACACAATCATCAGTGTATCTGTATGTGATGTATACAATCATCAGTGTATCTGTTTGTGATGTACACAATCATCAATGTATCCGTCTGTGATGTACACAATCATCAATGTATCTGTCTGTAATGTACACAATCATCAGTGTAACCGTCTGTAATGTACACAACCATCAATGTATCTGTCTGTGATGTACACACTCATCAGTGTATCTAAGTCTGTGATGTACACAATCATCAGTGTATCTAAGTCTGTGATGTACACAACCATCAGTGTATCCGTCTGTGATGTACACACTCATCAGTGTATCTAAGTCTGTGATGTACACAATCATCAGTGTATCGGTCTGTGATGTACACAACCATCAGTGTATCTGTCTGTGATGTACACAATCATTAGTGTATCTGTCTGTGATGTACACAATCATCAGTGTATCGAAGTCTGTGATGTACACAACCATCAGTGTATCTGTCTGTGATGTACACAATCATCAATGTATCTGTCTGTGATGTACACACTCATCAGTGTATCTAAGTCTGTGATGTACACAATCATCAGTGTATCTAAGTCTGTGATGTACACAACCGTCAGTATATTTGTCTGTAATGTACACAACCATCAATGTATCTGTCTGTAATGTACACAACCATCAATGTATCTGTCTGTGATGTACACACTCATCAGTGTATCTAAGTCTGTGATGTACACAATCATCAGTGTATCGGTCTGTGATGTACACAACCATCAGTGTATCTGTCTGTGATGTACACAATCATTAGTGTATCTGTCTGTGATGTACACAATCATCAGTGTATCGAAGTCTGTGATGTACACAACCATCAGTGTATCTGTCTGTGATGTACACAATCATCAATGTATCTGTCTGTGATGTACACAACCATCAGTGTATTTGTCTGTGATTTACACAATCATCCGTGTATCTAAGTCTGTGATGTACACAACCGTCAGTATTTCTGTCTGTAATGTACAGAACCATCAATGTATCTGTCTGTAATGTACACACTCATCAGTGTATCTAAGTCTGTGATGTACACAACCATCAGTGTATCTAAGTCTGTGATGTACACAACCATCAGTGTATCTGTCTGTAATGTACACATTCATCAATGTATCTGTCTGTAATGTACACAACCATCAATGTATCTGTCTGTGATGTACACACTCATCAGTGTATCTAAGTCTGTGATGTACACAATCATCAGTGTATCTAAGTCTGTGATGTACACAACCATCAGTGTATCCGTCTGTGATGTACACACTCATCAGTGTATCTAAGTCTGTGATGTACACAATCATCATTGTATCGGTCTGTGATGTACACAACCATCAGTGTATCCGTCTGTGATGTACACAATCATCAATGTATCTGTCTGTGATGTACACAATCATTAGTGTATCTGTCTGTGATGTACACAATCATCAGTGTATCGAAGTCTGTGATGTACACAACCATCATTGTATCTGTCTGTGATGTACACAATCATCAATGTATCTGTCTGTGATGTACACACTCATCAGTGTATCTAAGTCTGTGATGTACACAATCATCAGTGTATCTAAGTCTGTGATGTACACAACCATCAGTGTATCCGTCTGTAATGTACACAATCATCAGTGTATCTGTCTGTAATGTGCACAATCATCAATGTATCTGTCTGTGATGTACACAACCATCAGTGTATCTGTATGTGATGTACACAATCATCAATGTATCTGTCTGTGATGTACACAACCATCAGTGTATCTGTCTGTGATGTACACAATCATCAATGTATCTAAGTCAGTGATGTACACAATCATCAGTGTATCTGTATGTGATGTACACAATCATCAATGTATCTGTCTGTGATGTACACAATCATCAATGTATCTGTCTGTGATGTACACAATCATCAGTGTATCTAAGTCTGTGATGTACACAACCATCAGTGTATCTGTCTGTGATGTACACAATCATCAATGTATCTGTCTGTGATGTACACAATCATCAGTGTATCTAAGTCTGTGATGTACACAACCATCAGTGTATCTGTCTGTGATGTACACAATCATCAATGTATCTAAGTCAGTGATGTACACAATCATCAGTGTATCTGTATGTGATGTACACAACCATCAGTGTATCTGTCTGTGATGTACACAATCATCAATGTATCTAAGTCTGTGATGTACACAATCATCAGTGTATCTGTCTGTGATGTACACAATCATCAATGTATCTGTCTGTGATGTACACAATCATCAGTGTATCTAAGTCTGTGATGTACACAATCATCAGTGTATCTGTCTGTGATGTACACAATCATCAATGTATCTGTCTGTGATGTACACAATCATCAATGTATCTGTCTGTGATGTACACAATCATCAATGTATCTGTCTGTGATGTACACAATCATCAATGTATCTAAGTCTGTGATGTACACAATCATCAGTGTATCTGTCTGTGATGTACACAATCATCAATGTATCTGTCTGTGATGTACACAACCATCAGTGTATCTGTCTGTGATGTACACAACCATCAGTGTATCTGTCTGTGATGTACACAACCATCAGTGTATCTGTCTGTGATGTACACACTGATCGCAATGGACATGATATCCCTATGAAATTAAAGTGATAGACCAATATAAAACATATCGAAGCTACAACATCTCAATATAAGAAATTTTACAGGTTTAACAAAAATAGAAGACTGTAGAGGGTATACTGTTTAATTTGTGTTTTAGCGACAAATTTCCTTACCTCCTAGAGACAAAGCCGAATCATACAGGTCTTTGAACTTGTGTAACACGTCCATGTTTTGTCTGTAAGCAAATAGATTATTCATAATCAGAATTTCTCCCTTAAACCAAAAACATATCTTAATTCTCGAACCAAGATTGACTATCATCTCATTCAACATCTATTGCTACCTTTCAAAATTAAGCCACCTCCACCCTTAAACCTAAACACTGTACCCGTGTGAAACCAGTAGGGCGTTACGTGGAATCCTCCTTACTAAACAACATCTATTTTATCACACAGGTCTACGTTTTTACTTACCTAAGGATTCATCAGACGGTCTCGACCTGTCTTAACACTATCTATTAACAGGTCAAACGAACACCTATATACCTCTGACCAGGTCAGTGTGTTACGGAACAAATGAATCGTGATGATACAGGAAAACTAATTAGCATACAGGTGTCAAACAATATAGAACTGGAACGAGAGCTGATTCGTGTGTGGAACCGCGACTCTACATAATACATGGCCTATACGAGTCAACACATGTTAGCATTACACAAACACTGGTTAGTACACGTGTACCGGATTATAGGTTTTGTAGGTCGGGTGGCTTAACGGGTATACCATTTTTTACCTGTATTTTGTACACACAGGTTAAATCGCTCGATTGAGTTCTATTGTTAACAACTCTAAGCACGGGGTTTGCCTTTCCTCTCTAACAAACGAATGGTTTTTAGAAATCCAGATGTTAAATTACCGTAAACGTTTGTGCCTAGGGGCACCTAGACTTTAGATCAATATCGTTAGTAAAGAACCAATCAAATACAGCCGACACTTAAGATTCCAGTTTCCATTATGTCATTTAATCCTTAGAAGATATACAAAATGTTTTGCAGACAGATTTAGAAAATGTAACAAATTGGTGTAATAAAATCAAAATGATTGTAAATGACCAAAAAACAAAATGTGTGATTGTTGCTTCAAATCAGAAACTCTCCAGGACTACAGATTGTAAACTTAGCCTGAAACTTGGTGACACTGAATGAGAAAAATGAAAAACTTTTAGGTGTACATCTGGGTTATTGTTTGTCATGGAAAAGTCATGCCGACAAAGCAGTGTCTAAAATTCGAAAATGCTTAAGTGTTAAGGCGTATACGTCCCTATCTTTCCATTCAATGTAGAATGAAGTTTTACAACTCTTGTATTTTCCCCATTTTATCTATTGCTGTACTGTATGGTCTGGATGTGATGCAAATCATATGGGTAAATTATATAAAGCCCAGAAACAGGCAGCAAGTGTTATACTTGATGTGTCATATGATACACCTTCCTCTGATGTTTTCTGTTTTCAAATGGCTTCCAATTGAAAAAATATTTAAATTCAAGAGAATATGTATGTTCTACAAATGTATTCATTGGTGACAGATTACTTAAGCCACAATATCAATGAACACAGAAGATGTATCAGGTTCTCCGTGGTAAATGTTATTGTTATGGGGTAGAAAGACTGGACTATACTGTATTGACGGGGTAGAGATAGAGGACTATACTGTATTGACGGGGTAGAGAGACTGGACTATACTGTATTGACAGGGTAGACAGATAAGTCTATAATGTATTGACGGGGTAGAGAGATAAGTCTATAATGTACTGTCGGGGTAGAGAGACAAGACGATACTGTACTGACGGGGTGGAGAGACAATACTATACGGTATTGACGGGGTAGAGAGAAAAGACTATACTGTATTTACGGGGTAAAGAGACAGGACTATACTGTATTGACGGGGTAGAGAGACAAGACTATACTGTATTGACGGGGTAAAGAGACAGGACTATACTGTATTGACGGGGTAAAGAGACAAAACTATACTGTATTGACGGGGTAGAAAGACTGGACTATACTGTATTGACGGGGTAGAGATAGAGGACTATACTGTATTGACGGGGTAGAAAGACTGGACTATACTGTATTGACGGAGTAGAGAGACTGGACTACACTGTATTGACGGAGTAGAGATACTAGACTTTAATGTATTGACGGGGTAGAGAGACAGGACAATACTGTATTGACGGGGTAGAGAGATAAGTCTATAATGTACTGACGGGGTAGAGAGACAAGACTATACTGTACTGACGGGGTGGAGAGATAAGTCTATACTGTATTGACGGGGTAGAGAGACAGGACTATACGGTATTGACGGGGTAGAGAGACAAGTCTATACTGTATTGATGGAGTAGAGACGAGACTATACTATATTGACGGGGTAGAGAGGTACGTCTTTACTGTATTGACTGGGTAGAGAGACAGGAATATACTATATTGATGGGGTAGAGAGACAAGTCCATACTGTATTGACGGGGTAGAGAAATAAGTCTATACTGTATTGACGGGGTAGAGAGACAGGAATATACTGTATTGATGGGGTAGAGAGACAGGACTATACTGATTGACGGGGTAGAGAGACAAGTCCATACTGTATTGACGGGGTAGAGAGACAGGAATATACTGTATTGATGGGGTAGAGATATAGGATTATACTGTATTGACGGGGTAGAGAGACTAGACTATACTTTATTGACGGGGTAGAGAGACTGGACTATACTGTATTGACGGGGTAGAGCGACATGATTATACTGTATTGACGAGGTAGAAAGATAAGTCTATACTGTATTGACGGGGTAGAGAGACAAGACTATACTGTATTGACGGGGTAGAGAGATAAGTCTATAATGTATTGACGGGGTAGAGAGACAGGACTATACTGTATTAACGGGGTAGAGAGACAGGACAATACTTTATTTACGGGGTACGAGGGAAGTCAATGACCTTTTTTCTAATATCATGTGTTATATTGAAATTTCATATGATGTTATGTGCTTTAATGACCTTTCCTCTGATGTCAGGTGTTACAATGACCTTTCCTCTGATGTCAGGTGTTACAACGACATTTCCTCTGATGTCAGGTGTTACAATGACCTTTCCTCTAATGTCTTGTGTTACAACACTTCCTCTGATGTCAGGTGTTACAATGACATTTCCTCTGATGTCAGGTGTTACAATGACCTTTCCTCTAATGTCTTGTGTTATAACATTTCCTCTGATGTCTTGTGTTACAATGACCTTTCCTCTGATGTCAGGTGTTACAATGACCTTTCCTCTGATGTCAGGTGTTACAATGACCTTTCCTCTAATGTCTTGTGTTACATTTCCTCTGATGTCAGATGTTACAATGACCTTTCCTCTGATGTCAGGTGTTACAACATTTCCTCCGATGTCAGGTGTTACAATGACCTTTCCGCTGATGTCAGGTGTTACAATGACCTTTCCTCTGATGTCATGTGTTACAATGACCTTTCCTCTGATGTCAGGTGTTACAATGACCTTTCCTCTGATGTCATGTGTTACAATGACCTTTCTTTGATGTCATGTAACAATGACCTTAACTCTAATATATTGTGTTACAATGACCTTTCCTCTAATGTCTTGTGTTACAATGACCTTTCCTCAGATGTCAAGTGTTACAATGACCTTTCCTCTGATGTCAGGTGTTACAATGACATTTCCTCTGACGTCAGGTGTTACAATGAACTTTCCTCTGATATCAGGTGTTACAATGACCTTTCCTCTGATATCAGGTGTTACAATGACCTTTCCACTAATATCTTGTTTTACAATGACCTTTCCTCTAATATCTTGTGTTACAATGACCTTTCCTCTGATGTCAGGTGTTACAACGACATTTCTTCTGATGTCAGGTGTTACAATGACCTTTCCGCTGATGTCAGGTGTTACAATGACCTTTCCTCTGATGTCATGTGTTACAATGACCTTTCCTCTGATGTCAGGTGTTACAATGACCTTTCCTCTGATTTCATGTGTTACAATGACCTTTCTTTGATGTCATGTAGCAATGACCTTAACTCTAATATATTGTGTTACAATGACCTTTCCTCTAATGTCTTGTGTTACAATGACCTTTCCTCTGATGTCAGGTGTTACAAGAACCTTTCCTCTGATGTCAGGTGTTACAATGACATTTCCTCTGATGTTAGGTGTTACAATGACCTTTCCTCTGATGTCAGGTGTTACAAGAACCTTTCCTCTGATGTCAGGTGTTACAATGACCTTTCCTCTGATGTTAGGTGTTACAATGACCTTTCCTCTGATGTCTTGTTTTACAATGACCTTTCCTCTAATATCTTGTGTTACAATGACCTTTACTCTGATGTCAGGTATTACAATGACCTTTCCTCTAATGTCTTGTGTTACAATGACCTTTCCTCTAATGTCTTGTGTTACAATTACCTTTCCTCTAATATCTTGTGTTACAATGACCTTTCCTCTGATGTCAGGTGTTACAATGACCTTTACTCTGATGTCAGGTATTACAATGACCTTTCCTCTAATATATTGTGTTACAATGACCTTTCCTCTAATGTCTTGTGTTACAATGACCTTTCCTCTGATGTCAGGTGTTACAAGAACCTTTCCTCTGATGTCAGGTGTTACAATGACATTTCCTCTGATGTTAGGTGTTACAATGACCTTTCCTCTGACGTCAGGTGTTAAAATGACCTTTCCTCTGATGTCTTGTGTAACAATGACCTTTCCTCTAATATCTTGTTTTACAATGACCTTTCCTCTGATGTCAGGTGTTACAAGAACCTTTCCTCTGATGTCAGGTGTTACAATGACCTTTCCTCTAATATCTTGTGTTACAATGACCTTTCCTCTGAAGTCAGGTGTTACAAGAACCTTTCCTCTAATATCTTGTGTTACAATGACCTTTCCTCTGTTGTCAGGTGTTACAATGACCTTTCCTCTAATATCTTGTTTTACAATGACCTTTCCTCTGATGTCAGGTGTTACAATGACCTTTACTCTGATGTCAGGTATTACAATGACCTTTCCTCTAATATCTTGTGTTACAATGACCTTTCCTCTGATGCCGGGTGTTACAATGACCTTTCCTCTGATGTCATGTGTTACAATGACCTTTCCTCTAATATCTTGTGTTACAATGACCTTTCCTCTGATGTCAGGTGTTACAATGACCTTTCCTCTGATGCTGGGTGTTACAAGGACCTTTCCTCTAATGTCTTGTGTTACAATGACCTTTCCTCTGATGTCAGGTGTTACAATGACCTTTCCTCTGATGTCAGGTGTTACAATGACCTTTCCGCTAATGTCAGGTGTTACAATGACCTTTCCTCTGATGTCAGGTGTTACAATGACCTTTCCTCTGATGCTGGGTGTTACAAGGACCTTTCCTCTAATGTCTTGTGTTACAATGACCTTTCCTCTGATGTCAGGTGTTACAATGACCTTTCCTCTAATGTCCTGTGTTACAATGACATTAATCACTGATTTTAGTATATATACTAATGATCACTTGGACATCATTTGGAAAAGGTTTGATATATTTGTAAATAAAATGTAAATTCCCATTCACTGAGTAAATGTTTTTTATTATTAAAATGGAATTATCAGACAGATACAATAAAATAATGTGTATTTGGAAATATTACAATGTTAACTGTAAGAACAGTTCTCAAACATGTGATTATTACTTAACAAAATAACTAGTAATATTGGACAAATTTGAATCACACTTGATAAAAATTAATCTAGAATTTAAAAAAAACATTGAAATGAGAAATGATCCCAAGAAAATTTAAAACTGACATTAAAATTAAGTACTCAGTGTTAGTAAAAAACCTGACAAGCACCTCATTGTCGGTACAAGTAATAATACATTCTTGGTCTTTATCGAAAAACGTATAAGCTATGATTTAGAACTGCAATTCACTTTTGCAGAAAATGTAGATCACTTTTATAAAATGGTACCAAATTACAAAGCTGTATAGCAATGAATCTCACTTATACAGCAACAAAAGTCTACATAGCTGTATAATAATGTAGCTCACCCATACAGAAACAACAGTCCACATAGCTGTATAAAAATGTAGCTCCCTCTTACCAAAGCATAAGTCTACATAGCTGTATAAAAATGTAGCTCGCTCTATACAGAAACAACAGTCTACATAGCTGTATGAAAATGTAGCTCACTTAACATGAACATAAGATTAACACAATTTCCATTTCCAGCCTTACTCTCTGGTATGATGGACGTTGATAAAAATGATAACTGATGAAGTTCCAGAAATTGTCAAATGATTGTCAACTTGAGAAATGTAATAAGTCATAATAAAAACACTACCTCATTAAATGATTGTGACATTAATTAATAAAGAGATGCTTACACAGTGTTACAAAGATTTCTTAAAAGAATACTAATACTTCCAAATACTTAGGAATACTTGGAATCACAATCTTCATCAAATAATTACTGTGTTGTTATTTACAACAAGAATGGAACAATGCTCTTTCTGTTTCGCGGATAATCTTTGAATTCCTTTTTATAATTACGGTGTTTACCAAGCGCCCACACTGCCATCTGATAAAATCCACAGGACGTGAACAGTAGGGCTGGAATAGTAAAGATTAACATCATGTACGTACAAAAAAAAAAGAAATTGTAAACAAAATTGATTTTAACAAATCACATCTTAGCACGTTATGACTTTTTGGAAACTTTACAAAAAAACCCTGAATCATTGCTATATGAACAACATACAGCACAATCATATTTTGGTGCAATACTTTCAGCATGAAATATGCAAAAAAAAAAAAAAAAAAAAGATTTCCGCTGAAGTATTTATGTTTACAGAAATAAGTCATTTATACTTACCAGGTAAACACTGAGTCATCACACTAAAACTGACCCATGCCATCACCTCATAAGTGTAGTTAGGGCACGACACGAAATTAAACATGACAGTGAAGGGGTTAGAGGTCGGCCGAGGGATACGCCTCTCCTTTGTCCCTGTAAAACAGTATACGTAAGTGTTATAATTCAGAAGTACAGATTCAGCGTACCAGATGTCTAGGGAAGTACAGATTCAGTGTAATAGAAGCCTAGAAACGAACTCATTCAGTGTACATATTCAGTGAAACAAGAAACTAGAGAAGTACATATTCAGTGAAACAGGAGACTAGAGAAGTACAGATTCAGTGAAACAGGAGACTAGAGAAGTACATATTCAGTGTACAGATTAAGTGAAACAGGAAACTAGAGAAGTACATATTCAGTAAAACAGGAGACTAGAGAAGTACATATTCAGTAAAACAGGAGACTAGAGAAGTACATATTCAGTTCTCTCTATCTATTGATGTTCTGTACAATGATCAACAATCGCTGTTTCAATGTCCTTCAATAAGCCCACTCTATCTATTGATGTTCTGTACAATGATCAACAATCACTGTTTCAATGTCCTTCAATAAGCCCACTCTATCTATTGATGTTCTGTACAATGATCAACAATCGCTGTTTCAATGTCCTTCAATAAGCCCACTCTATCTATAGATGTTCTGTACAATGATCAACAATCACTGTTTCAATGTCCTTCAATAAGCCCACTCTATCTATTGATGTTCTGTACAATGATCAACAATCGCTGTTTCAATGTCCTTCAATAAGCCCACTCTATCTATAGATGTTCTGTACAATGATCAACAATCGCTGTTTCAATGTCCTTCAATAAGCCCACTCTATCTATTGATGTTCTGTACCATGATCAACAATCGCTGTTTCAATGTCCTGTAATAAGCCCAATCTATCTATTGATGTTCTGTACCATGATCAACAATCGCTGTTTCAATGTCCTTCAATAAGCCCACTCTATCTATTGATGTTCTGTACCATGATCAACAATCGCTGTTTCAATGTCCTGTAATAAGCCCAATCTATCTATTGATGTTCTGTACCATGATCAACAATCGCTGTTTCAATGTCCTTCAATAAGCCCACTCTGTCCTTCAATAAGCCCATCTATTGATGTTCTGTACCATGATCAACAATCGCTGTTTCAATGTCCTGTAATAAGCCCAATCTATCTATTGATGTTCTGTACCATGATCAACAATCGCTGTTTCAATGTCCTGTAATAAGCCCAATCTATCTATTGATGTTCTGTACCATGATCAACAATCGCTGTTTCAATGTCCTTCAATAAGCCCACTCTATCTATTGATGTTCTGTACCATGATCAACAATCGCTGTTTCAATGTCCTGTAATAAGCCCAATCTATCTATTGATGTTCTGTACCATGATCAACAATCGCTGTTTCAATGTCCTTCAATAAGCCCACTCTATCTATTGATGTTCTGTACCATGATCAACAATCGCTGTTTCAATGTCCTTCAATAAGCCCACTCTATCTATTGATGTTCTGTACCATGATCAACAATCGCTGTTTCAATGTCCTTCAATAAGCCCACTCTATCTATTGATGTTCTGTACCATGATCAACAATCGCTGTTTCAATGTCCTGTAATAAGCCCAATCTATCTATTGATGTTCTGTACCATGATCAACAATCGCTGTTTCAATGTCCTGTAATAAGCCCAATCTATCTATTGATGTTCTGTACCATGATCAACAATCGCTGTTTCAATGTCCTTCAATAAGCCCACTCTATCTATTGATGTTCTGTACCATGATCAACAATCGCTGTTTCAATGTCCTTCAATAAGCCCACTCTATCTATTGATGTTCTGTACCATGATCAACAATCGCTGTTTCAATGTCCTTCAATAAGCCCAATCTATCTATTGATGTTCTGTACCATGATCAACAATCGCTGTTTCAATGTCCTGTAATAAGCCCAATCTATCTATTGATGTTCTGTACCATGATCAACAATCGCTGTTTCAATGTCCTGTAATAAGCCCAATCTATCTATTGATGTTCTGTACCATGATCAACAATCGCTGTTTCAATGTCCTTCAATAAGCCCACTCTATCTATTGATGTTCTGTACCATGATCAACAATCGCTGTTTCAATGTCCTGTAATAAGCCCAATCTATCTATTGATGTTCTGTACCATGATCAACAATCGCTGTTTCAATGTCCTGTAATAAGCCCAATCTATCTATTGATGTTCTGTACGATGATCAACAATCGCTGTTTCAATGTCATGTAATAAGCCCACTTTATCTCCTGCTCTGAACATTGATAACTAATCAACAGCAATATCTGAACTCCCTGGGCTGATTATTGGATAAATATTGAAAATAACTAACTGTTCACATTTAAAGAAACAAAGATGTTACCTGCAGGTCTGAGGCTTCTAAAGGCCATGTGTATGGAGAAATTTCCTAGCTCACCGAACTGTAAACATAAGCAAAAATTATCAACAATCCAACGACCTCAGCACAATCTTATCACAAGAACTGATTGTCAGCAAGGTAGTTTTACTCAGAAGGGAGATAACTCCTGTGATTTTTTCAAAGCATTATTATACTGATTTTGATATTGATAAAACCAAAGCTGGATATTTGTGGATATTATCAGACATTTGGAAAATCTCCAACCTTTCTTATCTAAGCCTTATTAAGAAAAAGAGGTACTTACAATGAAGCCAGCGAGTCCAGCAAACACCTGGGCATCACCGTAGGCTGAAAACAGGAAAGACAGAAAATGATACAGACCTGGCCATCTGATAGAACTCCTACAACCCAAAGTTTGATGTTCAAGCTTTCATAGAATCTCTTAAACTGCAATGGGTCCGCAGGTATGTCAGATGTAAAATGGACTGTACTACTAAACACTATGATAGAACAGAAAAAGGTGCAAGACTGTGGTAATGCTTTTATTAATTTAGGTGGCTCCAACTGTTCAAATAAAATTCATAAAGAATGGATGGGAAAAAATGAACAAATCATCACTCTTTATGGAGCATTAAATAATTCATGATTCTATTTTGAAAACTCCTTCCTGGTACAATAATGATATACAGGTAATAAATTCAATTTTTACCAACACTGATCTGTTTACACTTATCTGACTTTTTTTAACACTACAAGAATTTCTTGATCTATTTATAGAGTTAACACAAACTTTCTTTAATACCACAGCCCAGTATCGGCAGTAGGTCAGTTTTTGGAGAAATTTGAATTCCTGATGATGTAACCATCCCAACCTTTTATACTGCTGCCTTTGGAAATATTTTTTCAGAACTGAGAATGGTTCAAAAGACTTCTACAAATGTCTCATTACCCCCAGCACCAGTGCCAACAGATGTGAGCGAATGGGGGATCTGTTTTTACTTTGATTTTGTTAAATGAAAACAGTTTTTTGAAATTCTCTTTAAAATCTACAAAAGTGCAAAGTTGCAATGATTTCAGGTCAGAATCACACACTATGTTCTGATTACAAACACCTTTCTTTTTTTTAAAAAAAAAAAAAAAAAAGATTTCTGTTTACTGCTTATGACAATGTAGAAATGTGCAAAAGTTATTACAGGAATTTGAAAATCTTTTTTACTTTCTTTATATTGTATTCTCTTTCAATAAAGAATCATTTCTATTTGGAATCACATCAACACATACCAGTTCAGTTGTTAATGAAATCTGAACCCTAATTAAACATTTGATTGAACAAGATGTTTCAACAATGCTTGATGCTCTTGTAACTGTTATTAAGGATCATTATGTTATGAAAAAGTGTTCAAACTTCAAAATTAGTGAAAAGACAAAAACTATTTCTGACATGAACTGGAGGAAGTCATTAATAGACTTGTAAGTCGATATATTTTTGAGTTCATTCATTTTGCATTGCAATCAAATATCTTAAGTTGTGTGTCAATGTTTCATTTTTTTTCTCTTTTTTTTTCTTCATGCACAGCAGTTATATTAAAAATAACCTTCCCCAGAACTTGACATTGTGCCAAACTTACATTAGGAAATACATAAGAATTCTCTTATTTTAAAGATCAGACCTCATTCACTTTGTTCTTCTATACAGCATTGAATTTCTCCCCCCTCTCACCCCCCTCAAATCTATCTCTCTTTTCAACTTTAAAATGCGCATGTTTGTGAATGTCTGTGAGTTGTGTGTATGTGAATGTCTGTGAGGTGTGTGTATGTGAATGTCTGTGAGGTGTGTGTATGTGAATGTCTGTGAGGTGTGTGTATGTGAATGTCTGATGATGATGATGATGATGATGATGATGATGATGATGATGATGATGATGATGATGATGATGATGACGATGACGATGATGATGATGATGGCGATGAGGATGAAAAGGAACACTTGCATGGTTAGACATTTCAAATTTGTTTACAAACAGTTGCTGATAATATTTACTAACATGGCAGTAGACTTACTTGGTGGGGTGTAGAGAGGATGATTGACGAAGTAGCCTATCATGGCTGCAAATCCCCAGTAGTAGGTGCTGTTCTGTGAATCAAAATGGCAAATATAACACCATAAATGCAAATAAAGTTATATCCTACACAGAGCAAACCTAACGTTTTGATCAGTTGTGACAACAAGTCTGTTATCTAGTTTTAATAAAACAAAGTAAAAATCTTAAGACTCTCACAACAAATATGAAACAGGTTGAAATATTATATTGAAGCAAAACAAAAATATTGTTTGTTTCCTGTTTGTAAATTGTAAGCCTGGAACTTTTTAGTGCAACTAAATGATCAAAGAGATGTTACAGGACCAGATCAGGTGTCCACTGAGTACAAGATCACAGTTACAGGACCAGATCAGGTGTCCACTGAGTACAAGATCACAGTTACAGGACCAGATCAGGTGTCCACTGAGTACAAGATCACAGTTACAGGACCAGATCAGGTGTCCACTGAGTACAAGATCACAGTTACAGGACCAGATCAGGTGTCCACTGAGTACAAGATCACAGTTACAGGACCAGATCAGGTGTCCACTGAGTACAAGATCACAGTTACAGGACCAGATCAGGTGTCCACTGAGTACAAGATCACAGTTACAGGACCAGATCAGGTGTCCACTGAGTACAAGATCACAGTTACAGGACCAGATCAGGTGTCCACTGAGTACAAGATCACAGTTACAGGACCAGATCAGGTGTCCACTGAGTACAAGATCACAGTTACAGGACCAGATCAGGTGTCCACTGAGTACAAGATCACAGTTACAGGACCAGATCAGGTGTCCACAGAGTACAAGATCACAGTTACAGGACCAGATCAGGTGTCCACTGAGTACAAGATCACAGTTACAGGACCAGATCAGGTGTCCACTGAGTACAAGATCACAGTTACAGGACCAGATCAGGTGTCCACTGAGTACAAGATCACAGTTACAGGACCAGATCTGGTGTCCACTAGGTACAAGATCACAGTTACAGGACCAGATCAGGTGTCCACTGTGTACAAGATCACAGTTACAGGACCAGATCAGGTGTCCACTAGGTACAATTAAACATATTTATAATTAATCTTTATACCTTGTCTAAACCTGTTAACACAAGGAAGTATCGTATCATCTTTTTTCTATTTTCCTTTGAACTAGAGGATCTAGAGGAATAATTTCACTTCTTTTCAGAATTCTGCAACACTTGTATGTTTTATATATCAACCTTAGGTCCTTTTACTGAAGTTTGAATTGTATTCACTCTTTTGTATATTACATATATCTGACTGCAATGTAGATATCCAATGATGACAAAGATTTAGAGACTTTTTACAGTGATTTCCTGTAATTGTAATGGGTACTAAAGGTAACACCATTAGTAACAGGTATGGCCATCGTTTGCGAAGTAAACAGCATTGCAGCGTCCTCGCATGGAACTCGTAAACCGGTGGATAATTTGAGGAGAGATGTTGTTCCATTCAGCGATCAAGGCTTAGGCCAGCTCCTGCAAGTTTGACGCCTGATTTTGACGTTCTCTCACGCGTCGCCCAGGAACGTCCCAGACATGCTTAATCGGTGACAAATCAGGTGATTTAGATGGCCAATCTAACACCTGTACGCTGCAAGAAAGTACTGCTGACGCAACTGGTGTGTGCTGGTGCGTTATCCTGTTCAAAAATGGCGCCGATGCCATGGCGTCTTAAGAATGGCAGAACCACTGGTCTTAAAATTTCGTCCCGATATCAAATGCCGGTTAAATTGCCATTTAACACAACAAGCCTGGTACGAGTCCCCCCACAAATACCACCCCAAACCATTACACTTCCGCCACCAAAGCGGTCGTGTTCTGCGACACAGCAGTTCGCAAAACGCTCCCCTCGTTGCCTCCACACTCTGCGCCTTCTGTCACCGTGTTGCAGACAAAACCTGGACTCATCTGAAAACAGAACATTGTTCCATTGTCGTAAGGCCCAACGACGGTGAACACTAGTCCAGTTACGCCTATTATTACGGTGACGTCGCAACAAATTGGGTCCAGTGTAGGGACGCCGCGCTTTCAATTGGTAGGCCCTCAACCTGTTGCGGACTGTTTGGGGAGACACACGACGCCCAAACAATGTCCTTGTAGTCTCCACTGCGGTTACGAATCGATTGCGCAAGTGTATCAATCGTATACGACGGTCATCCCTGGTGGTCGTTTTACGGGGTCAGCCGCTTCGGGGACGATCGGATGTTGACCCAGTTTGGTTTAAACGACTTACCAACTGGCAAATTGTCATAACACTGCAACCAAAATGCTGTGCAACTCGACAGTGAGACTCCCTAGCCTGGATCATGACTACAGCCCTTTCTCTCTGTACTTGTGACAGCCGGGGCATAATGATGAAGTTGATAGATAGCAAGATTCGGTGATTTCTAAGTCCTAAGAATCTAAGGAACAGTTGTCAGTTTGAATGTTTATGAAATTCAAGCGAAGATACACGTTAGTCGCAGAAAACCTCATGCAGCTTTTTCGCTAATACAGATTTTCACGCTTGAATGATTTTGGTAACGCCCTTGGATTTTGTAACGTAACACATTACCATTTTCTAATATTGCACAAACGTCATTTTTTTTCACTCATTTACAGGTATTCGCCAAGGAAACATGTTAACCTTTCTTTTTTTGTTGAGTATATATATATATATACATCATGTGTAACAGAATTACTACAAGTGTGTGTTCCTGTGTGAGAATGTGTGTTACATCTCAACATTCTGTTTATACTTATATCATATAGCTCTCCTAATTGGAAGGAAAAAATTAAGAAACAATAAGAATAAGTGTTACTCTAGTTGATTATAATTTGTACTTATCACTAATGAAATGTAATGAAAGTCCTGCCTACAGAATCTAGGATTCAGCATCAGAATTAAAACAATCTGCATGTCTAGTGACCTTGTCAATGTATCAATCATTTAATATTTTGAAATTACCTTGAAAATGTTCATGATCGGCATGGTTGCATTTGAGAATCGATGGACAAACACAGTCTCCAGGAGGCGCTTAATGTAGTGGAATGAGAAACAGGCAGTGGCCAGACTGAAATGATAAAGTTTGGTAGTGTATACAAACATCAGACATCCACAATCTGACCCCAGTGACTCACGGCCAGACTGAAATGATAAAGTTTGGTAGTGTATACAAACATCAGACATCCACAATCTGACCCCAGTGACTCACGGCCAGACTGAAATGATAAAGTTTGGTAGCGTATACAAACATCAGACATCCACAATCTGACCCCAGTGACTCACGGCCAGACTGAAATGATAAAGTTTGGTAGTGTATACAAACATCAGACATCCACAATCTGACCCCAGTGACTCACGGCCAGACTGAAATGATAAAGTGTGGTAGTGCATACAAACATCAGACATCCACAATCTGACCCCAGTGACTCACGGCCAGACTGAAATGATAAAGTTTGGTAGTGCATACAAACATCAGACATCCACAATCTGACCCCAGTGACTCACGGCCAGACTGAAATGATAAAGTTTGGTAGTGTATACAAACATCAGACATCCACAATCTGACCCCAGTGACTCACGGCCAGACTGAAATGATAAAGTTTGGTAGTGTATACAAACATCAGACATCCACAATCTGACCCCAGTGACTCACGGCCAGACTGAAATGATAAAGTTTGGTAGTGTATACAAACATCAGACATCCACAATCTGACCCCAGTGACTCACGGCCAGACTGAAATGATAAAGTAGTGTATACAAACATGGTAGTGACCCCATACAAACATAAAGTTTGGTAGTGTATACAAACATCCACAATCTGACCCCAGTGACTCACGGCCAGACTGAAATGATAAAGTTTGGTAGTGTATACAAACATCAGACATCCACAATCTGACCCCAGTGACTCACGGCCAGACTGAAATGATAAAGTTTGGTAGTGTATACAAACAGCAGACATCCACAATCTGACCCCAGTGACTCACGGCCAGACTGAAATGATAAAGTTTGGTAGTGTATACAAACATCAGACATCCACAATCTGACCCCAGTGACTCACGGCCAGACTGAAATGATAAAGTTTGGTAGTGTATACAAACATCAGACATCCACAATCTGACCCCAGTGACTCACGGCCAGACTGAAATGATAAAGTTTGGTAGTGTATACAAACATCAGACATCCACAATCTGACCCCAGTGACTCACGGCCAGACTGAAATGATAAAGTTTGGTAGTGTATACAAACATCAGACATCCACAATCTGACCCCAGTGACTCACGGCCAGACTGAAATGATAAAGTTTGGTAGTGTATACAAACATCAGACATCCACAATCTGACCCCAGTGACTCACGGCCAGACTGAAATGATAAAGTTTGGTAGTGTATACAAACATCAGACATCCACAATCTGACCCCAGTGACTCACGGCCAGACTGAAATGATAAAGTTTGGTAGTGTATACAAACATCAGACATCCACAATCTGACCCCAGTGACTCACGGCCAGACTGAAATGATAAAGTTTGGTAGTGTATACAAACATCAGACATCCACAATCTGACCCCAGTGACTCACGGCCAGACTGAAATGATAAAGTTTGGTAGTGTATACAAACATCAGACATCCACAATCTGACCCCAGTGACTCACGGCCAGACTGAAATGATAAAGTTTGGTAGTGTATACAAACAGCAGACATCCACAATCTGACCCCAGTGACTCACGGCCAGACTGAAATGATAAAGTTTGGTAGTGTATACAAACATCAGACATCCACAATCTGACTCCAGTGACCTACGGTCTGGTAACTCCTTTTTTCACTACTTTGGGAATGGAGCCTTTGGCATCAAACCATATACTGTTATTCTTACATAGTTGGGAAATAACCAACGTGTTATGCTCAAAAATACAACTTTTCTATGAAAATTTCAGTAAAGTTTTAAAAAAAATATTCTTCTCGTGAAAGAAACGTAAGAACCATTTTGGTAATTAAAGCACCTTCAGATGCTTCCATTAATACAGAGAATTTAATTCTACCATATGTGGGACTCGAGAAGAAGATTTTTGGAATTTAAGTCAATTTGACCCCTTCTGGCTTTGCCCATCAGCCCCTGGGGGTCAGTCAGGATCAAAATGGGCATATCAATCCGTCATCCTTCACTCATCATTTTGACCATATTAGAAATATTTCCAATGGAAATTAAACAAATTTTGCTCAAAAATCTAGTTTTTCCGATATAAACTACAGTAAATTTTACCCCCTCTCCACAGCGAGATGTGAGACTCTAGACCCATGAAATTCACAAATTTGATGAAGCACCTGAAGATGCTTCCATTCATGAAGAGTATTTGATTCTACCATATCTGGGTCTTGTGAAGAAGATTTTTGAAATCCGAGTCAATATGGCCCCTTTTGGCCCTTCCTCTCAAGACCCCCTGGAGGGTGGGGATTGTATAATTCACAGTTTTCACTGAAATCAGATCAGGCGTTTTTGAGAATTCAAAATGTTAAATTGTTTATGGACACTTGACACACAATGCTGGATGAAGGGTATTAGAATAGGTCATCTGAAAGTCTCATGATGACCTAAAAAAATTTTAATTTAAAGGGGCTATTTAGTCAAGCAACGTTTTTTCTATTTAGCTTGAAATGAAAATACATGTGTCCAGACAAACAAATCTGTACATAATAGTTTTTTCCTGCGTAGCCAATGTCCAGTGTGGTCAGTTTAAAATCTGGGCAAGCCCCCAACAAAATTAGCGATAATCCAAATAAAGCACAAAACGCTGCGCCCTCTGGCGGGAAGAAGACTGTAAACAAATGCACGCGATATGGAGGCATCAAGTGACGAAACGGTGAGTCTGATTTCATGTTAACTCCTTTCGTAAGGAAATCATGAAAGAAATTGCATGGTAAACCTTTTTGAAACATATAAACGTTACTAAAATTCATGGTGAATTGTTATTTGATGGATTAAATCTACCAAACACGGTCTGACCTACAAAAAATATCACCAGAGATGATGACTTATCACTTACCAACAGTCTAGGAGAGTCCTCATAACTTCTTCATTACTTTGGAAAAAGTTTTCTTTCTTGAACTTGTCCCACCTCTCGTACTGCTCTCCTATTGTTATTCGAGGATGAGCTTTCTGTCACTGGCCTTTTCTACATTTTGAGTGCTATGATGTGACCTGTTTGCCACAGACACGCTTCTGCTGTGAAGCCATTTTTGTTTAGTTTTTTCAGACGCGCTTGCGCATGCTCACAGGTCAAAAAAAAATAAACAAACTTGACAAAATAACCCCTTTAATACAACAAGGTACACATTGATAGAGAAGAAGTCAAAAGTGTTGAATTGTTTATGGACGCACAATGTTGGATGAAGGGTATTAGAATAGGTCACCATGAGATAGTCCTGACATAAGGTTTTCTCCTGCAGTAGCTTAAGTTAATGTCCTGTACTTAACCACTGGAAACATACATTGGACCTCACCATCCAGTCCTCTTGACAAGTTGTTAAATAACCATTATTTTAGAAATTTTAATGCTTGAACAGGAAAAATCTTGGGTTTTGCCTTCGGAGCCCAAAATTGTGCCAAAAAATTAAAAAAGTAATCTAAGTTGCTTATTTGGTCACCTACATGTTTTTCTGAAAGGACCTAAACTTTTATTTCATCGTCCAGTAATAAGCTTTCCTCCAGTTTTGAGTGACGGTAAATATGTTGCTCCCTACTGCGTTCGTTTTAAGGGTCCACACTAACTACAGGACAAAACACTCACTTGACTTGCCATGATCTTGGAGTAGAGGCAGCTGCTCCATATATAATGAAGGGACGGGCATAAAAGATGAGGTAGGTGATGAGAGGACCGGAGTATTCTGTCAGGAACACCTAGAGCGGCAACAAAACAGAGAAAATAACAATGTTCAATATACATATTCAATTTCAAGAGTAAGTTGATACGTAAAAAGGAAGTAAATACATAGTTTTGATATGTATCAGTATATCAGCACTGTTTCTGAGGCAAAATATTTGTATCATCAAAATCCAAGGATTCTGTTTTACCTTGAATGTGAAGTTAAAGATTACCGATCTTATTCCTTCCATCTATTCCTGTCAACCTGAAATGTCATTTCATTTGACTCACATAATTTTTTCTTTGGGTGGATGGGTGGATGGGGGTGGGGGGTGGGGTGATATATTTATTCTTACATGCACATGTAGAATGAGTGCCAATGCCTCTGTTATGAGAATGAAAGGGTCCTTCCCCTTTTATCTGGTATGCAGGGGATTGATTAGTAAGGGTGAGGTTAAATCACGTACAATCAACCCCGACAGGCTAGAGGTGGCTTTGTCAAGATTCTATTAGGTACAGGTAGTTCTGTTGGTTTTGCGATTTCTGTCAGGCATGAAGACAGAAACAGTACAAACAGCAGACAACCTCTAGTCTGTTGAGACCAATTCTATTTATTTTCATGTTATTTAAAATTTTTTTTCAATTCTTGCTCATCGTACACCAATGTAATTAATTAAGAGTCAATCTGTATCTGAACCTATACTTAATGCATAATCTAAATCAGATGGGTCCAATGTACCATCAAGGTCCTTTTATCTTTATCAAAGAGATCACAGTACATACTGTATTTCCCACTGGTACTTATACCATAAGTACGTAAAACCATGAGATATGTCAGAAATAACAATATTTAAATGTACTTTATCATCAAACAACTCCTGCATATCAAACCAATCTATCAATATTTCTGTACATAGATTGAAATGTATTTGATTCTATACTTACAGTTGTCCAGCCCACCTGAGGCCCAAGGTCCTTGAAGTATAAGGTTCCTTTTTTAGTAAAATCTATACTGTCTAACTTAATGTCATCCTTCAGTGTCTTTCCCTCTGTAATAGAGTTTCACCAGAATGAATGAAGTACAAAGAAAGGTGAAGCGTTTTGCCGATGCCAGATATTTGGGAAAGCAGAGCAAAAACAGACTACAGGTAAAACAGAGAAATAAATTTGTCTAATGGTAAAAAAATCTACATTCTGCCAGTGATCTGAGTGTTATAGGTTGAAATAAAGCAATATATTTTTTTAAATGATAAGATTAATGCCTCACAAAAATACCTATTTCTAAAAAGTGAATTCAAATGAAGAGGATATAAAAACATTAAACAGGTACATCAATGATAACAGTTTTACTTTATTGCTTTCGGAAAATGTTGGGATAGACTCTTGTACAGACTCTCACAGACTCTCATACAAACTGTCATACAGACTCTCACAGACTCTCATACATACTGTCGTACAGACTCTCACAGACTCTCATACAAACTGTCGTACAGACTCTCACAGACTCTCATACATACTGTCATACAGACTCTCACAGACTCTCATACAAACTGTCGTACAGACTCTCACAGACTCTCATACATACTGTCGTACAGACTCTCACAGACTCTCATACAAACTGTCGTACAGACTCTCAAGGACTCTCATACAAACTGTCGTACAGACTCTCACAGACTCTCACACAAACTGTCGTACAGACTCTCACAGACTATCATACAAACTGTCGTACAGACTCTCACAGACTATCATACAAACTGTTGTACAGACTCTCACAGTCTTTCATACAAACTGTCGTACAGACTCTCATACATACTGTCGTACAGACTCTCATATAGAATCTCACAGACTCTCATACAAACTGTTGTACAGACTCTCACAGACTCTCATACATACTGTTGTACAGACTATCACAGACTCTCATAGAAAAAGTCGTACAGACTCTCACAGACTCTCATACATACTCTCATACATACTGTTGTACAGACTCTCATACATACTGTCGTACAGACTCTCACACAAACTGTCGTACAGACTCTCACAGACTATCATACAAACTGTCATACAGACTCTCACAGACTATCATACAAACTGTTGTACAGACTCTCACAGTCTTTCATACAAACTGTCGTACAGACTCTCATACATACTGTCGTACAGACTCTCATATAGAATCTCACAGACTCTCATACAAACTGTTGTACAGACTCTCACAGACTCTCATACAAACTGTAGTACAGACTCTCACAGACTCTCATACAAACTGTCGTACAGACTCTCACAGACTCTCATACAAACTGTTGTACAGACTCTCACAGACTCTCATACATACTGTTGTACAGACTATCACAGACTCTCATAGAAAAAGTCGTACAGACTCTCACAGACTCTCATACATACTGTTGTACAGACTCTCATACATACTGTCGTACAGACTCTCATACATACTGTCGTACAGATTCTCATATAGAATCTCACAGACTCTCATACAAACTGTTGTACAGACTCTCACAGACTCTCATACAAACTGTAGTACAGACTCTCACAGACTCTCATACAATCTGTCGTACAGACTCTCACAGACTCTCATACATACTGTTGTACAGACTCTCATACATACTGTCATACAGACTCTCATACATACTGTCGTACAGACTCTCATACAGAATCTCACAGACTCTCATACAAACTGTCGTACAGACTCTCACAGACTCGCATACAAACTGTCGTACAGACTCTCACAGACTCTCATACAAACTGTTATACAGACTCTCACAGACTCTCATACAAACTGTCGTGCAGACTCTCACAGACTCTCATACAAATTCTCTGAAAGTCTTTTGTACAAACTCTCAGACAGACTCTTGGACAAACTGTCGTACACCTCTTTCTTGTTTCCTTACCCGTGAATCATTTGATTGCATTATAAATGCAATACTGGAAACAATTCAATTTGGAGCAGTCAATATTTAGTGCTCTAGGGTCTAGGTACCTTTTTGACAGCGTTTAAATTGAAGCGATGGAATACTGAGGTATAAATTTTGAAATTGTGCGAGTGGTATAAAATAGTGGTATAATATAGCAGTATAAATTTTTTATCAGTATAGAAAGCATGTCAAATTTACTCATTTCTTTATAACATCAGCTTCAAAGTTGGCATTCAGGAAAATCATGCACGAAATGACAAAGGGTGACACTGACATTGACTTCAGACTCGCAGCACTGAAGCCTATTCACACTGCATGGCTTGTGACAGCCCATGACGCTATCTGTCACACAAAACAAAGAGCTCATAATGAGACTACAGGAATGTTAGCTGTGTTGTAAAAAGAACAGACTGTCCAAGCCATTAAACATTGTGTTACTGGACTGTTGTACAAATTATTGGTGTTAATAAATTGTACTTCCAGTTTCCAATTTTAATTGATCGGTTTCCAGCATCACAGAAATTTTAGTGTTCATATTTATTTAGTGTTTTTATGGCTGTAAACTGTTTTCCTTTTTTTTATTTGACCAAGAAAGATAAGAAACTTAGTCAGCACTATCTCAAGACCATTTGTGGCAAATTTCAACTGAATCCAATTTTTGAAACTGAAGAAGTTAAAAACCATATGAAAAATTTACAGCACATAGGTCAGTCTCAACAAAGGTCATCTTCACCAAAGGTCATCCTCACCAAAGGTCATCTTCAGCAAAAGTCATCCTCGCCTAAAAATTTAGGATGGTGACAATGATGTTCATTGACAAATGACTTACTTGGATCACTTTTAAATGCCTGTCTTGTTGGGTAATATTTTGGAACTGGAAAAAAAGACACAGTAATGATAACATTTCATAGTATTTTTTCTCTTATAGAAACCCTTCCTAAAGAAAATACATCCTTCTATGACTGACTCATCTACATGACCACTTGGGTTATCAAATAACCTGTGTTTTTCATTTAAGATGACTTGCTTTGGAATACCTCTAGATTTACCACTATTCACTTGTATAATCAGTGATCTGGCTCAACCACACCTTTATACTCTGTACACCTGCACACACCATTATAAAAAAAAAGAAATTTTGTAACTTTTGGCGTCTTTCTTTGTTTCAAATCAAACCCAAGGACACCTAAGCAATCAGTGAAGAGAAATATATAGTGAAACTAGACTAAACCCAATATAGCTGACCAAGGACTGTCACATAAAGGATCAAAGGAGGACGTAGCATGCCAAAACATTATGTTGTTATGATAATGTATTGTAGCCAGGATCTAGACATTCAGACAAAAAAGTCAATCCCAATCAAGCTTATTCAGAAAAGGAATTATGTCTGCTTTAAGTTTAATGGACAAGAAAAATGCATATTGATTAGAAAAAAAAATCTATTGAGTATTTATGGTATAACACTGACCTCAGAGGTTTAAAAAAAAATTGCAAACAAGCTTTTTCATTGAAAGGACCAGACTGCGACGAACTATATACAAAATGTATAGAACATACAATTTTCATCAGAAATTATTTCAAACAGCAAATAATTATGTGATATTCATAATTACCACCAAACAATTTTTTAAGATATAAGAGCATCATATGGGTAATAATATGTACTTTATATGTAACATTTACTCACATTTCTTTTCATACTCTTTTTTGACATCTGCTATACTGGATCCAGTGGAAACCTGAAACAAAGAGTCATTCAATATTGACAGTACATCTTCTTAAGTTTGTTTCTATCTAATCAGATTTATAAAAACATGTCTGATGAAAGTGAAAAGTTTTCAACATAGTTCATCGGTCCCATACTCCATGACCATGACTGAGAATTTGTAAACATTCACAAAAACTGCTGTAGTGACCTGAAGTTTTAAGAATGTAATCTCAATGTCATATCCATTATAATTATGCTAGTATAAATCAATCTTAAACTTCAAATTTAAGATGTGGACATTAAAGGCATTCCAGGATATTCAGTTTTCTATTCAAATGATTTAGTTACAATAAATATTGTAACGTTGACTTGCCAATCCTGCTTCTTATATGGAATACTCCAGAGTGATTTTGTTTCTGTTACGGAATACTCCGGAGTGATTAACAACTCACATTTGTTAATGTTGCCAGGGTTTTCCCCGTCTTTGGATGAAGTACTGTTATCTAAAAATAAATAAAAATATATATATATATCATTGCAGAAAAGTACAGATCATCTCACAAACCTCAGCTACTTGGAATTTCCTCTCAGTCAAGTGGAAGAATGTCTGACTCGAGACTGAAGGGTCTCTAATTCAAACCTAAGTTTATTATGGTTTCCTATCACAGATTTTAGTGCCGTTGACCACTCCATGGGTAGAAGTAATGGAATACCAAGATGCTTCCCTAGAGATATTGAACCAGAGTTGTTGTTGTCTTCAGGATTGAAGACATTTTAAAGGAGGGAGCAGTGTAGAAGTTGAAGAATACAGTCCCCCTTACTAACCCAGCTAGTGGGAATTTCCCTTTGGTTGAGCAGTAGTGTCCGACTAGAGACTGAAGAGTCACCAGTGCGAAACCTCATGGTGGCAAGGTGTTTTTCATTACTCCTGCCTATTACATCATTAAGAAATTGATTGATAGAACAAGAATGAACAACAGTACCAAGAAATTGATTTGTGTGTTTCTGCCAGAAATTGAATCAACCCCCAAAAACAAAACAAAAAACTAAGGAAAACTACTTCTTGCACAATTGCTATCAGGCAACCATACCTATCCACATTTAGAATTTACCACAGTGCCCTCCACCCTCTCCAACTTTAATTGTTTTTGTCCTCCACATTCTCTTACTCCTTTCATGATCAATTATCAGCGTTAGCAGTTTCTAGTCCAGAAAACAGATATCATTGAAAATCTTGCTTATTAAAATTTTCAAGGGGAAGATTTACATGCTCAAAAATGACAACATAAATAAAATTTGTGCATATACCCTCCAATAAAGGAAGAACGCACGTAAATAAAATCATTAGATTGTAGAAGATAAGATAAGTTTAGCAAGTACAGTTTTTGAAAATAGCAAACAGAGGTTCGAAACCCAAAATACCATCATGGTAAAGGGACCGTGGTTCACTTCACCATTATGGTGAATGACCTGCGCCTCCTCCCCTCCTCCTTCACCATGGTAAAGCGAAGCGTGGTTCACTTCACCATTATGGTGAATGACCAGCCCCTCCTTCTTCACCATGGTAAAAGGAACCGTGGTTCACTTCACCATTATGGTGAATGACCAGCGCCTCCTCCTTCACCATGGTAAAGTGAAGCCACTTTATTTTTATTTCAATTAATGTTTCTTCACTTAATTTTCTATCACTTTGAATAATTAAGTTCCTTCATACATAATAAACCATTAACTAAAACTAAGGTACTATCCTTTTCACTCATACTTAATAGTATAATGCCTCAGAAAATATATATGAGTGACCTGACACTACTTTTTATGCTGAAATTCTGAAAACTAATGATATTCAGCAAGTTAGTTTCAGATAGCTACGACTGGACCCCTCAAACTGCATGTACCAAATATTCCGCAGTCCAGCCTCAGTCCCAATCTATACCTGTCATTTTTCTTGCAAGTTCAACCGCTTACGTGAAAGCGACCTTAGCAAACTACCATAACTGATATGAGTTATCACCCTTGTACGATAAGGACATAAGGTAGAATGTGGTCTTGACATTACATGAAAAGTTGATATTTGATGTTGTATGCAAATGTTAATAAAATGTATATAAACGATAAAAAGATAATGCCTCCTGCCTAAAGATATTATTTCTATACGCTAATTATGCCCATGTGAGCAATGCAGGTGAAACTTTGCCCTCGGCCTCAGCAACCCGACCAAAGTGTCCATAGTTCACAGGTCAACCGTTGTGAAAATACAGAAATCAATCCATCATAAATTATATTTACCAAGTAGGTATCAAGAAATCTTATATAAGAAGTATATCCAACATCTCAAAACAATAAACTTACTTCCATAATTCTGTTTAGTGTTTGCAAGCCAATACAAGCACCTGTCCGGCGTCGGCGTTAGTTTCCAAAACAGAGAAGGGAGGCTACTCTGTTTGAGTTGATAGTATTTAAACTTCCAAGGAGTTCCGAATCATTCACAATGGCGGCGTCCAATGATGTAGATGTGGATGTAGATGTGGAAATGGAACCATCGCTAAAGAATATTGTTGGTCAGACAAGTTTAAAATGGATATTTGTCGGTGGGAAAGGAGGTGTTGGAAAGACAACAACAAGGTAAGTGTGTGCTTTGAAAATATATACAGTTTTAGGCGTGCGTGCGGTATTTTTTCCAAGTTTACATTACGACCAGAAGATGGCCTAACTGCTGTTCAAGATAGAAAAAGGGAAAAAAATCTGTTTAACACCAATCAATGACTCTGAGTAGTTTAATTCAAATCAAACGAACGTTTAAATATCGATATCATGAATGATTGTATAAATTCGAGATTATTTGAGTTCTTGTGTGTTTCCAGTTGTTCTTTGGCAGTGCAACTCGCCAAAGTACGGGAGACAGTACTGATTATATCAACCGACCCAGCTCACAACATATCTGATGCATTCAACCAGAAATTTTCGAAGGTCCCAACACTGGTCACCGGTTTCCCAAATCTCTACGCAATGGTAAGATAAAATTCTTTCATAAAAATCTCGCTCAAATGTGTAGATTTATATCTGGGGTTTAATTGGTACTGTATGCTTACCCAGGATGACAGAGTGATCCTTTGGCTTTGAACGGAGGAAACACTTAATTTATTGGTACTATTTTTTAGTTCTCACATAATGACTGGTTATTGACCGATTCCCACCAATAGCCATGAAACCTGTGCATTGGTGAGAAAGTCTGGGTACTAGTTGAGAAGAGGTCATTAGTCAGGATATAGTTTGTTCCTTATTTATTTATCTATTTATCAGGTTGTACATCCACTATTATGGCATTAAGGTTAGTAGATGAGTGAGATTTTTCCCTAACCTGCCTGTTATATATATAATGTACTCAATCAGTGTTCAGGACCTGATTTTTGATGCTGGACATCGGAACCAGTTTGTTGTTTTAGTGCAAACACATCAATAAAGAGGAGGAAAACATGTTTACAAAGTATTTCAATCATTTTGGTTTCAAGCTTTACAATATTACCATGTAGCTTGATAAAAAAATTGTAAAATTTGGAAACAAGGATATAGATTATCGATACTCTGTAGGCCAACAGCCTCCAGTCGACTCTTTGCTGTAAGTGATTAAACTGAAGTCAGGTAAAATTCTTGTGGACGCTATGCATATCTAACTGTATGCTACAAGTTATGATCTACTTGCAGGAAGCCTTGCTCTGTGAACGGTTCTTTATATGCAGATTTCTAAAAATATGTATCAGTAATTCAAAATAGTAAAAAATAAATACAATTTTACTGTTAATTGTTAAATCAGTTCTGAAATCAGAAAAATGGAAATCACAAAGTTCATTTAGGAGAAAAATGTTAAATAATAATAATCACTATTAATAGTAAAAGTGGAAAGAAATGCTTCCTCATCTAATGTTTGGTTAAAACTTCCTGAAAAGGATCACTTAGCTGGACATTCAGGAAGTAATGACTGATGTCGGTATATTCTAATGTATGTGTAGTACTATTTTTCTGAGCAGTGACCTGAGGGTTAATATCAGCTCAGAATAACCACACTGATTTATGCAGATGTGAAATATACATTCTCAGTTTGTTTCAGTTAACTTGAAAATGTTTGTATCATACACACATGTACTCAATATTTGAGGAAATTGAAACTAGATAAAATGTTTGTGAAAATTCAAACCTACATTATTTATGTATTATATAGAAAAAAGTATTAAACTTGATATGACAAAACATTTCAGTATTTATTCACAAACAAGCCCATGTCTGGTAATAAGCCCATCCATCTTTATTACTAAATAAAAGCCACAGTGTGACAATCACCTGGTCTTAATCACATAGTACATGCATTTTGGCAGTTAAGGGCCCTGCACTAAAATTTAAAGGAAAAAATGATCAATTTTTAACTTCAAATTAGTGATTTAATAGCATCATTATCCTGGTATTTAAGTGGCAAAACATCAAAATTCAAAATATCAATCAGTATATTCAGTGTAAATTGCTTCATCTATCATTACAGGGTTGGTGAAGTGTGGCTTGAGGGAGGGGGAGGGGTTGTGTTGGAGGGTGTATTTAAAATAGGCCCTATAACCAAAGGGGTAAAAAATGTGTAATTAGATTGTCACTTCTATCACATTTCTTTATTACAGTTTGCTTTTTTTCAACTTTCTCTCTTCTATCCCAAAGAAACCTTTGGAAGACTTTTGTATTTTTTGACACAAATGCTGGTTTGGAAAATTAATGTGGAAGTACAAGACAAAATTTGATTAATTGAGAATAAAAGTCAAAGTCCCTGGTATTTAATGTGTTTTGTGTAAAATGTACTTACCAGATTTTGATATGTTGCTTTCAGGAAATAGATCCAAACTTGGGCTTTTCCGAACTCCCAGAGGAATATTTTGAGCAGCAAGGTAAGTTTGTTACAAATTTTACAAATGCATATGTACATATTTATAGTGATAAACTTAATTTCAATCAATTGCAAAACAAGTTATGTCCACTTCTGTTCAGTCCAGGGATTAGTTTGATCCATTTTTTCAGAGAGAGAAATTCTCACTACTGTCAATGTGAGCGAGAGATTTTGAAATTCAATGAAAGATAGACACTCTAATACAGTCCTTTACAAATAACAAGTTAACAACCTTTATTTATGGCTTCAGTGGCCTACAACAACAGTTTTAAAGACAAAAGAAAATGGAGCCAATGGTGTGTTTTTAACCATTTTTGTTGAAATTGTACCTTCAATCGTTTAGGATTTGGTGTATCAGAGGGCATTTCAGTATCTGCAGTTTTGTGCATGGTTACTAGGCCAAACATCGCAGAATTTTTCCGCTGGCCGGCCATGTTGCCTGTGCCTACTTTCGGAACATTTCGGACCGCATTACAGCTTAATGAAAACACAAGAAGATTTCCGTAGTCTAATATGAGTTACCTCCCTTCTACTTTACACTTGACCGCGAGATCGAGGAGTTACAGTATACAACATACGAATGCGAGAATTTCTCGCTTTACATCAGAATTTCACGTGAGATACACAATTTTTCTGCGATAATTCCCGGAAATTGCGCCCCAAAATGATCCTTGCAAGTCTTGTTGGTTCATATAAAAGTTTTGCTGCTATTTCAACACTAGGCTTATTGAATGTTCATTCATTTCTACTTCCATTATAATTAATTAACATTTGGTATGCACCTCATTTACCATCTATATACACAGGTACAGTCTATATATATATATATATATATATATATATATACAGGTACAATCTATATATATATATATATATATATATGTACAGTCTATATATATATACAGGTACAGTCTATATATATATGCACAGTCTATATATATATACATGTACAGTCTATATATACAGGTACAGTCTATATATATATACAGGTACAGTCTATATATATACAGGTACAGTCCATATAAACATGTACAGTCAATATATACAGGTACAGTCTATATATATATATATATATATATGTACAGTCTATATATACATGTACAGGTACATATATAATACAGGTATATATATATATATATATATATATACAGGTACAGTCTATATATATATACAGGTATAGTCTATATATATACAGGTACAGTCCATATATACATGTACAGTCTATATATATACAGGTACAGTCCATATATACATGTACAGTCTATATTTACAGGTACAGTCTATATATATATGTACAGTCTATATATATATATATATATATATATATACAGGTACAGTCTATATATATACAGGTACAGTCCATATATACATGTACAGTCTATATTTACAGGTACAGTCTATATATATATGTACAGTCTATATATATATATATATACAGGTACAGTCTATATATATCTATATACAGGTACACTCTATGTATATATGTACAGTCTATATATATATACTAAACAAAAAAAGAAAGGTAACACTACTTTATTCTGTGATTAATTAATTAACCCCTTCATAAATCCTTACCAATCATGTACGAATAAAGTAATTGATCAATTCTGATAAAACTGCAGTCATGGTTCATTAAACTTTGCGTTCAGTTGATTTTATTCGACTGTAAAGGATGTAGGGGTCAATTTCAAAGGTAACACCATTAGTAACGGGTATGGCCACCGTTTGCGAAGTAAACAGCATTGCAGCGTCGTTGCATGGAACTCGTAAACCGGCGGATAATTCGAGGAGAGATGTTGTTCCATTCAGTGATCAAGGCTTGGGCCAGCTCCTGCAAGTTTGACGGCTATTTTGACGTTCTCTCACGCGTCGCCCAAGAATGTCCCAGACATGCTCAATCGGTGACAAATTAGTTGTTTTAAATGGCCAATCTAACACCTGTACATTATTCTGCGGCAAGAAAGTTCTGCTGGCGCGACTGGTGTGCGCTGGTGCGTTATCCTGTTGAAAAATGACGCCAACGCCATGGCGTCTTGAGAATGGCAGAACCACTGGTCTTAAAATTTCGTCCCGACATCAAATGCCGGTTAAATTGCCATTTAACACAACAAGCCTGGTACGAGTCCCCCCACAAATACCACCCCAAACCATTACACTTCCGCTGCCAAAGCGGTCGCGTTCTGCGACGCAGCAGTTATCAAAACGTTCCCCTCGTTGCCTCCACACTCTGCGCCTTCCGTCACCGTGTTGCAGACAAAACCTGGACTCATCTGAAAACAGAACATTGTTCCATTGTCGTAAGGCCCAACGACGGTGAACTCGGGTCCAGTTACGCCGATTATTACGGTGACGTCGCAATAAATTAAGTCCAGTGTAGGGTCGCCGCGCTTTCAATTGGTAGGCCCTCAACCTGTTGTGGACTGTTTGGGGAGACACACGACACCCAAACAATGTCCTTGTAGTCTCTACTGCGGTTACGAATCGATTGCACAAGTGTATCAATCGTATACGACGGTCATCCCTGGTGGTCGTTTTACGGGGTCGGCCACTTCAGGGACGATTGGATGTTGACCCAGTTTGGTTTAAACGACTTACCAACTGGCAAATTGTCTTAACACTGCAACCAAAATGCCGTGCAACTTGACGGCGAGACTCCCCAGCCTGGATCATGCCTACAGCCCTTTCTCTCTGTACTTGTGACAGCCGGGGCATAATGATAAAGTTGATAGATAGCAAGATTCGGTGATTTCTAAGTCCTAAGGATCTAAGGAACAGTTGTCAGTTTGAATGTTTATGAAATTCAAGCGAAGATACAAGTTAGTCGCAGAAAACCTCATGCAGCTCTTTCGCAAATACAGACTTTCATGCTTGAATGATTTTGGTAACCCCCTTGGATTTTGTAATGTAAAACATTACCATTTTCTAATATTGCACAAACGTGATTTTGTTTTCACTCGTTTACAGGTATTCGCCAAGGAAACATGTTAACCTTTTTTTTTGTTGAGTGTATAAATGTACAGTCTATATATATACAGGTACCGTCTATATAGACTAGTCTGTCTATATATATATGTACAGTCTATATATATATACAGGTACAGTCTATATATACAGGTACAGTCTATATATATACAGGTACATTCTATATATATATAAAGGTACAGTCTATATATATATACAGGTAGTCTATATATACATGTACAGTCTATATATATGTATGTACAGTCTATATATTTATGTACAGTCTATATATGTATATACAGGTACAATCAAAGCCTGTGTATTGTAGATGTATATGTAACCGAGGTCATTATTTATTTCAGTGCCTTCACTAGGAGTTGAACATAGGACCTCTTGTTTACTAGTCAAGCTAAACAAAATTCTGTTCTTGCCAAATAGTATATTGTAGCTAGTATTTTACCAGGGTTACTTATTAGTAATTTTGTTGCTGGTTACATGGAGTGTATATACCATAAACACCTGAAGGGATTGTTCTGTTATTCTCAATTTCTGTAGGATGTTTAGAAATCTGCCAGACTCATGAATAATGCACTGTAATCAGCTAGAATATCTTGTGTTATAATTATGTATTGTTTTTCCGTTAACAGTCTTTTGTGTGTTTATTCCACTTAACCAATATATACATTTTATTTTAGGCAAAACCAATGAATATGTTTGTTTCTGAAAGTTGTAATAATAATAAGTAAGAAGGTATATATTGTGATCCCTTATCAAATCGTTGTGAATCTGAACTTCATTCATGAAAGTGTAGATATATTACAGGTCACAAGCAAATATTCTGAGGTAAATTTGGCATGATGTTGATCTACTAAGTCACTGCTTGGCATATCACCACATACAACAGAGCTTTATGTAAATGCTTCAGATGATTTTCAGGAAGTTCTTCAAAAGTAAATAATCATTTAAGAAAAAATCCTTTAAACTCGGATGAAATATATATGCTTTATTTCAATTTCTACCCAAATAAGACTCAATGAAACTACTAAATGTGATCTGTTTCATTTACCGATGAATTTGACCAGATTAACATTGCCAGTGCTTATAAATACAAATATTAGGTAAGGGGAGAAAACTCCCCAACTTCTACTAGACTGGCAATATACCACAAGTATGAAACTTAAAAACATCAAAATAAAAATTTGAAAACTATTGAAAACTATCAATAAAATTTTTAAAAAATTGTATATTCAACATTTAATAACTGTAACTTTACGTTTCAAAAGATGTTAACCGACTGGAGCTTGATATTTCTTGTTCTCCGCTACAGTGCCTGTAAAGAAAATGGCCGACACAGCTTCGTTTGCGAACCGGCGCATCACGTCTAGACGTTGTTCCTCTGTGGAGAAAAAATGCATACTGTCTTTGTTGCACAGTATTATTTAAATTTTCATTAAAGTTGTCGAAAAATATATTAAATTTTGTTCTTATTGAAGTTTCATTGAATATTAAGTAACCACGCTGAAATATATTTCAACCTGTCACAATAATCTGTCTTCAAATGACGTACTATTTGCTTGTATGATGTCAAAAGATATGATGACAAGAAACAAGAATGAAAGTAGAAGATCAATTGCGTCAGTTCCCAAGCTATAGAAAAAAGAAGTGTGAGTTGAAATATAAGACTCAATCCTTAAATGAATATATGCACATCTACATAAAAAGATATTTACATAATTAATATTTGAAATATATCAGGAAAGGTCACATTATATTCATTGTCAATATGAGTGCAGCAGTCAGGTTGACAGATAAATAACAATGAACCCAAACTGCATTTATCTTTACTATAAATACAATCTGACAACCATTCTGTGGTTAAATATTTTTTGTTTTATGAAGCAACATCATAATTCATATGAAAATTACAAAGTATTCCAGGAAGTTACAAAGCATTTTCAAAAAATCTGATTGATTTCAATTTTAAAATGTCAGGGATAAGGGCATACTCTTTGCACAGGCTAAATGTACATTTCAACGAATTCTGCTAAGTTTTGATTATAACTTATGAATGTGGTGAAGGTGTCAACAATTTTAGAATCATTAGAGTCAGAAACAGGAAAGTAACACCTTTTTAATTTGGCCTTAAAGATTATCATCACTAATTTCTTTTCCTTCACTTTAGGTTATCTCCCTTGTACATCAGATGAAAGAGAATTTTTGTCGCCAGTAAATGAGAGAATGAACAGCCTTGATAAATAATGTATCAGAAATATCAGCCATTATGTATTGATGTAATTCTTTGTCAGCTTCAGGTGAAACTTTACTGTTGTAGTACATTATAGTAATATATACCTGTCCAAATTTGCAATTTTGAGATTTCCATTTCAAAAGTTTTCCATGAGCTGGGGACAGTTCGTTTAAAAAATGTATGTTACTTAAATCTCATTAGGGCCCTGCATCAAAATGAATGACGTTGAACCACTTTCAGTGTTATATGGGTCATATGTTTTCAAGATCAATGAGGCTTTGAGTCATGGTGATATGCAAGTGCCATAATTGGATGAAAAGCTACCAAGTTTTGCTCAAATGACTGATTCTGAACTACTTTTAATGGCCTGAAGTGAGCTTATGGTATATCACAGCATCAATCCATCTGTCAATTTTTGTCAACAAATCGCTACTAGTCATGAACAACTTATCAGATTTTCCCAAATTTGGTCAGAAGCATTCCTTGGTGAAACAAAACAAGTTTTATGTAAATTGTGGGCCTATGCCCAATAGGGCCTGAAGGGTGGGGCCCAATAGGATAGTATTGCAAGTTCTTTAAAAGCCTACTCCTCCTGTAACAATGATTGGATTTTGCCAAACCTGGTATGTAGTATTCTGAGATGAAGGGGAATCAATTTTGTACAAATATTGGGTCTTTGCCCCCTGGAACAGGAAGGGTGGGGCCCAAATGAGGAAAGTTTGCAAGTCCTTTAAAATGCTACTTCTCTAGTAGGAATGATTGGATTTCGTCCAAATTTGGTCTGAATCATTTTTATGATGGATTTAGAAAATATGTCAAACTATATACTTTAATAATCTAAACATAGTAACAGGCTACCTTAGAAAAGTATCTTCCATCAGACAAACTTTCAACATATTTTATTGTCCAATCTTTTTCCAATAGTGAAATTTCTTTTCAAGTGGAAGGATATTTCAAGGGCCCTGTATTTGTGACACAAAACCACGGTAGTTATCACTCCGTCTGGCTACTCTGTCCATCCTTCGGTCAGTGACTTTATTAGTTGAGATGTTCATTTAATTAAAAGTCATACTGAGATCAAGAAACAAGGTCAGATGTCAAGGTTATTTGGTCCAATAGTCAATCTTAAATTTTGTATCTTTTCACTGATGATTGTTTTGTTATGACATTAAGTTTGTCAGAATTGTCTAATAAGTCAAAGTTCAAAGTTCATGGACAGAAGGTCTTATGGTCAAGGTAAAATTTGACCTTGACAATGGAGTCATTTGCTGAACTATCATTATGCTTTTTTCTCTTCTGTATATTTTTTGACAAATTTGACTTTTGCCTCAAATTAATTTTCATTATTTAAGAGCAACAATTTTTCCATACTGTAAATTTTGTATTTATCAAAATTGTATATATTCAATCCAACATTTACTTGTGATTACAACAGTTTGCATAAATCAACATGAAACAATTATGTCAACCTTATTCAGCCTGCAGACCCGAAGGGTTCAGATGACCTGTATGTAGCTATCTTGTGTGTCATTAGCTTTTACCATTTCTGACATGGCTTAATATCACTGCTAAATGGATTACTGAGGGAAATGGGTTCTTGCATATATATTGTTAAAAATGAACCCCAGGGGTAGGTCCTTTACTAGTTATGAAGCCATAATGGGGTAGATTTTCTATATAATTTTCTATATAATTGCTTTGTATCATTGAATACACTGGTAAAGGGAAACAACTCTTGAAAATAATCTCCTTTCATATTTCTAACCGTACTGATATTTTACATGTTACATAACACTTGATAACTACCCTTTAATCTTTATATTCAATTATGCTTATCTCAGATGACTGTCAAGGCTGTAAGGCTTCTTGTTTCCTTCATTAAGCTGAAATAATTCCTTAAAAACATAAAACACTAAATAATTAAATGGTATTTTATTGATTTGTATGTGTATGCATTATTTATCTGTTTGTTTATAAGGAAACTTAATTGCATTTCAAAATGGATATTATGATTCAAAATTAGTGACAATATTTTAACAACAAACACCGTTGGTTACTATTCCAGATGCTATGCACATGGGGAAAGCCATGGTTGGGGAACTCCTGAGTGCTTTTCCTGGAATTGATGAAGCTATGAGTTTTGCTGAAGTGATGAAGTAAGAAAATTATTGTGCTGAAACACACAGATTGGCAACATTTTTCAATTATTCATATAAGTTGCTGAAGCCTGATATTTGATTTACCTGGTAAACCTTCCTGTCACACACAGTTGTGCTGTAGTAGTTCTGTCACATCTGTCACACACTGCTGTGCTGTAGTAGTTCTCTCACACCAGTCGCACACTGCTGTACTGTAGTAGTTCTGTAACATCTGTCACACCCTGCTGTGCTGTAGTAGTTCTGTCACATCTGTCACACACTTTTGTACTGTAGTAGTTCTGTCATACCTGTCACACACTGCAGTACTGTAGTAGTTCTGTCACATCTGTCACACACTGCTATACTGTAGTAGTTCTGTCACACGTCGCACACTGCTGTACTGTAGTAGTTCTGTAACATCTGTCACACCCTGCTGTACTGTAGTAGTTCTGTCACACCTGTCACAGACTGCTGTACAGTAGTAATTCTGTCACATCTGTCACACTCTGCTGTGCTTTAGTAGTTCTGTCACACCTGTCACACATCATACACTGCTGTACTGTAGTAGTTCTGTCACCCCTGTCACACACTGCTGTACTGTTGTAGTTCTCTCACATCTGTCACACACTGCTGTACTGTAGTAGTTCTGTTACACCTGTCACACACTGCTGTACTGTAGTAGTTCTGTCACATCTGTCACACTCTGATGTACTGTAGTTGTTCTGTCATTCCTGTCACACTTGTCACACACTACTATACTGTAGTTGTTCTGTCACATCTGTCACACACTGCTGTGCTGTAGTAGTTCTCTCACACCAGTCGCACACTGCTGTACTGTAGTAGTTCTGTAACATCTGTCACACCCTGCTGTGCTGTAGTAGTTCTGTCACACCTGTCACACACTGCAGTACTGTAGTAGTTCTGTCACATCTGTCACACACTGCTGTACTGTAGTAGTTCTCTGTAACATCCGTCACACACTGCTATACTGTAGTAGTTCTCTGTCACATCTGTCACACACTGCTGTACTGTAGTAGTTCTGTCACATCTGTCACACACTTCTGTACTGTAGTAGTTCTGTCACATCTGTCACACACTGCTATACTGTAGTAGTTCTGTCACACCTGTCACACACTGCTATACTGTAGTAGTTCTGTCACATCTGTCACACACTGCTGTACTGTAGTAGTTCTGTCATACCTGTCACACACTGCTGTACTGTAGTAGTTCTGTCACACACTGCTGTGCTGTAGCAGTTCTGTCACACCTGTCACACACTGCAGTACTGTAGTAGTTCTGTCACATCTGTCACACTCTGCTGTACTGTAGTAGTTCTGTCACACCTGTCACACACTGCTGTACTGTAGTAGTTCTGTCACACACTGCTGTGCTGTAGCAGTTCTGTCACACCTGTCACACGTCATACACTGCTGTACTGTAGTAGTCCTGTCACACACTGCAGTACTGTAGTAGTTCTGTCACATCTGTCACACACTTCTGTACTGTAGTAGTTCTGTCACATCTGTCACACACTGCTATACTGTAGTAGTTCTGTCACATCTGTCACACACTGCTATACTGTAGTAGTTCTGTCACACCTGTCACACACTGCTATACTGTAGTAGTTCTGTCACATCTGTCACACATTGCTGTACTGTAGTAGGTCTCTGTCACATCTGTCACACATTGCTCTACTGTAGTAGTTCTGTCACACCTGTCACACACTTCTGTACTGTAGTAGTTCTGTCACATCTGTCACACACTGCTATACTGTAGTAGTTCTGTCACATCTGTCACACACTGCTATACTGTAGTAGTTCTCTCCCATCTGTCACACACTTCTGTGCTGCAGTAGTTCTCTCACACCTGTCACGCACTGCTGTACTGTAGTTGTTCTGTCACATCTGTTACACACACTTCTGTACTGTAGTAGCTCTGTCACATCTGTCACACACTGCTGTACTGTAGTAGTTCTGTCACACCTGTCACACACTGCAGTACTGTAGTAGTTCTGTCACACCTGTCACACACTGCTGTACTTTTAGTAGTTCTGTCACATCTGTCACACACTGCTGTACTGTAGTAGTTCTCTGTAACATCCATCACACACTGCTATACTGTAGTAGTTCTCTGTCACATCTGTCACACACTGCTGTACTTTTAGTAGTTCTGTCACATCTGTCACACACTGCTGTACTGTAGTAGTTCTCTGTAACATCCATCACACACTGCTATACTGTAGTAGTCACACACTCTGTCACATCTGTCACACACTGCTGTACTGTAGTAGTTCTGTCACATCTGTCACACACTTCTGTACTGTAGTAGTTCTGTCACATCTGTCACACACTGCTATACTGTAGTAGTTCTGTCACACCTGTCACACACTGCTATACTGTAGTAGTTCTGTCACATCTGTCACACACTGCTGTACTGTAGTAGGTCTCTGTCACATCTGTCACACATTGCTCTACTGTAGTAGTTCTGTCACACCTGTCACACACTGCTGTACTGTAGTAGTTCTGTCACACCTGTCACACACTGCAGTACTGTAGTAGTTCTGTCACATCTGTCACACTCTGCTGTACTGTAGTTGTTCTGTCACACCTGTCACACCTGTCGCACACTGCTATACTGTAGTAGTTCTGTCACACCTGTCACACACTACTATACTGTAGTTGTTCTGTCACACCTGTCACACACTACTATACTGTAGTTGTTCTGTCACACCTGTCACACACTACTATACTGTAGTTGTTCTGTCACACCTGTCACACACTACTATACTGTAGTTTTTCTGTCACACCTGTCACACACTACTATACTGTAGTTGTTCTGTCACACCTGTCACACACTACTATACTGTAGTTGTTCTCTCACACCTGTCACACCTGTCGCACACTGCTATACTGTAGTTGTTCTGTCACACCTGTCACACACTACTATACTGTAGTTGTTCTGTCACACCTGTCACACACTACTATACTGTAGTTGTTCTGTCACACCTGTCACACACTACTATACTGTAGTTGTTCTGTCACACCTGTCGAAGTATCTATGACCAGAATGTCTATAGGTAATGTATGAATATTTTTATATACACATAGAGAATAAATAAAAATATCAGCTATGTTCTTATCTTAGCTGTCTTCATTTGATTTATAATTTTATCGGCTTTCAGACATGTTTGTTAATGAATTAATTGTCAGAATACAACAGTTTCATCATAGTTGTTTCACATCATCTTTTATATCTAAAATATATCTCCACAATATACTTACAATTAACTATAATTGCATTTTCTGAGGATTGAACTTCCTCACTCTATAGCAAACAGTCAATTTAAACAGTAAACAGGTACCCATTCCATTAAATCAGACATAATGATAACACAGGAATTTGTCTGTTAAACTTCAAAGTCTATAACATTTAACTGTATCTCTTCACAACTCTATCTAAAACAATCCACAAGTCCCTGAGTGATTAAGATCTAAAACAATCCACAAGTCCCTGAGTGATTAAGATCTAAAACAATCCACAAGTCCCTGAGTGATTTAGATCTAAAACAATCCACAAGTCCTTGAGTGATTTAGATCTAAAACAATCCACAAGTCCTTGAGTGATTTAGATCTAAAACAATCCACAAGTCCTTGAGTGATTTAGATCTAAAACAATCCACAAGTCCCTGAGTGATTAAGATCTAAAACAATCCACAAGTCCTTGAGTGATTTAGATCAAACAATCCACAAGTCCCTGAGTGATTAAGATCTAAAACAATCCACAAGTCCCTGAGTGATTAAGATCTAAAACAATCCACAAGTTCTTGAGTGATTAAGATCTAAAACAATCCACAAGTCCTTGAGTGATTAAGATCTAAAACAATCCACAAGTCCTTGAGTGATTTAGATCTAAAACAATCCACAAGTCCTTGAGTGATTTAGATCTAAAACAATCCACAAGTCCCTGAGTGATTAAGATCTAAAACAATCCACAAGTCCCTGAGTGATTAAGATCTAAAACAATCCACAAGTTCTTGAGTGATTAAGATCTAAAACAATCCACAAGTTCTTGAGTGATTAAGATCTAAAACAATCCACAAGTCCCTGAGTGATTAAGATCTAAAACAATCCACAAGTCCTTGAGTGATTAAGATCTAAAACAATCCACAAGTCCCTGAGTGATTAAGATCTAAAACAATCCACATGTCTCTGATTGATTAAGATCTAAAACAATCCACAAGTCCTTGAGTGATTAAGATCTAAAACAATCCACAAGTCCTTGAGTGATTAAGATCTAAAACAATCCACAAGTCTCTGAGTGATTAAGATCTAAAACAATCCACAAGTCCTTGAGTGATTTAGATCTAAAACAATCCACAAGTCCTTGAGTGATTTAGATCTAAAACAATCCACAAGTCCTTGAGTGATTTAGATCTAAAACAATCCACAAGTCCCTGAGTGATTAAGATCTAAAACAATCCACAAGTCCTTGAGTGATTTAGATCTAAAACAATCCACATGTCTCTGATTTATTAAGATCTAAAACAATCCACAAGTCCCTGAGTGATTTAGATCTAAAACAATCCACAAGTCCTTGAGTGATTTAGATCTAAAACAATCCACAAGTCTCTGATTGATTAAGATCTAAAACAATCCACAAGTCCCTGAGTGATTTAGATCTGAAACAATCCACAAGTCCTTGAGTGATTAAGATCTGAAACAATCCACAAGTCTCTGAGTGATTAAGATCTAAAACAATCCACAAGTCTCTGATTGATTAAGATCTAAAACAATCCACAAGTCCTTGAGTGATTAAGATCTAAAACAATCCACATGTCTCTGATTGATTAAGATCTAAAACAATCCACAAGTCCTTGAGTGATTAAGATCTAAAACAATCCACAAGTCCTTGAGTGATTAAGATCTAAAACAATCCACAAGTCTCTGAGTGATTAAGATCTAAAACAATCCACAAGTCTCTGATTGATTAAGATCTAAAACAATCCACAAGTCCTTGAG